GGGAGGTAGACAGTGAAGGAGTGGAGGGTGAGGAATTGGAAGTGGGATCCTTTTAAACTTGAACCTTGACTGTCATTCAAATGTTTTTTTATTAGTGATTTTTTACAATGTTGTACACATTTTGAACAGCACCATCATTTTAAGCTGGATTTACACAATCAAAGTTAATTGAACTTGGTTTAATAATCTTTTATAAGTCCTTCTTTAAGTGTTTAAATGTTAATTCAACTGAGTTAAGTCATCTAAAGTTATCAAGTTGAAACTTTTCAGTCACAGAAACACCGTTTAGTCTGCTTTCCATTTAATTGTATCTTTTAAAAGAAGGGTTCAATTCTTTATTAAAACGACCAAACGACAAGTGCCATCTGCTCCTGTTAAAGCCACCAGAGTACACGCACACGCACACGCACACGCACACGCACACACACACAGCAAATAATCAAATTTATTATATACATATAATCCCACTCTTTGTTAGGGATCATTTGGTCCCATGTAATGCTGTGTTGTGCCACCTTGTAATGTTTTGTGGCTTTGTGTTTTCCAACATAAATCGGCCTCATCCCTCTTCCTTTAACCCATTTCATCAGAGATTGTGTGGGAGATTCTCTCCCTTCTGTATTTGCTCTCTGACTCTCAGACCTTCACCCTCTGTTACTCCCCCCTCTCTAATCAAACTCCCTCTGGAGGATTTTCTTCCTCCGCTCAGGTCAGATTTCAAAAGCCAGTGTCTAAATGAGCTCTCGCTGGCTCTTTCTCAGCAGGAAACAGTCATTTGTGGACGTTAGGTTTTCTGCTGTTAAGTCAGTGAAACACAAACTCACACTATATGGTTCAGATGATGAGAATATACACCCATTACTCAGCATTTCAACGTACAGTTTTGTAAATATAGATGCACTTGAGTTCTGACATTATCTATGCAACAAAAGGGCTCCATCCACATAAGAAATCCAATCTATGTTGTACGTGTGTTAACTTTCTGCCTAATTCAAGATCGGATTGACTAAAAATGTAATGTAACTTGTAAAAATAAAAGGTGTATGTGCAGATATTCTCCTATTTTGCACACCTCCATAGAGAGGCAATAGGTCAGGATAGGAGGGACTCAGTGGTTTATACATTTAGGTTTATTTAAAGGACATCGTTGTTTATAAAGCCACTGTTAACTCTGTTTTGCCTGTGTTAAGGCCCTGACACACCAAGCAGTCACCAGAGAACTCGCCGACGCCGACTGTTGCGTCGCCGTGTTCTCCTGCGTCTTGGCCATGTGTCGCACTGGAACACACCGCAAAGACTTCAGCCGAGCACGTACGAACTGCGCATGCGTGAGAGGCAATAACTCTCCTTACCAGCAGGCGGCGGTAGTGTGTATTCGTCATTCAAAAGAGGCAACAACCGGAAGACAGAGAAGAAGAACAGACTGCGTGATCTAAACAAACAACAAATAGCGTGTGCGTTCCATTTTCCAAAACATGTTTCGTGCGGTACTGGAGCTATCAGCCATTGGAGTGTTGCTTGTGGAAGACATTCTCAAGCAACCGTTTCGCTTCTCATGCACTGATTCGCTAGCTGAACAGCCAATCAGAGTGATTTCTTTGTCCGACTGCCTGTGGCCGACGCACGGCCGATTCAACATGTTGAATCGGCCGTGCGTCGGCCAAATAAGGCGTGTCACGGCCGACGGTTCGGGACACACCAAATTGAGTTTGGGCGACAGGGCACGCTTCGTCGTCCGACTAACGAAGACGGCCGATTTCGGCCTGGTGTGTCTGGGCCTTTATATGTAAATGAGCTGTGCGGTTGCCCTGATGTCATTGGCTACCCATCTCCTCGTCCGCCCCTGAAGATCGTGATTGGAGCATGCCGGGCCCGACGCGCTCCAATCCCAGCGCACATCCAGCGCACACCTTCCGGAGACGACTACAAAGCCTGGGGACAGCGATCAGTCGGGAGGCTCTGTTGTGTGAACAGACGCCTCTCGCTACTTGCTCTTTGTTGTTGTTGTTGTTGTTGTTGTTGTTGTTGTTAACTGTGCTTAAACTCGTGTGGTCCGTATTTAGTTAGTGTTGTTATGATTAGATGTGTCTAGAGTAGCTTAGAATTACGTTGACTGTTGTCCTCTAGCTTAGCTGTGTTTTCCTACAGCCTCCTTTTTGTTAGTTTGTACCACTTTAATAGTGAGAGTTGTTTTGTTGCTATTTTTGTGTATTAATATCTATTCCTTTGTATTTGATTAGGCTCCCTTTTTAGAGTCCTCCCTTTGTTTGGTTGCTCAGTTAAACCTGCGCCCTTGTGGCCTTTTAGTTTGTTCCAGGCTGCTTGCCTGCCATTTTTGTTACATCGTTATTTAATAAACTCCTTATAATTATTACCAATTCCAACTGGTGTATGTTGCTTTTCCTCATCCCCTAGTGGGGACGTAACAGCCACCCTGCAGGCCCTTTACTTTTGACAGTGCTCTAATCCTGCAGTTTATTTGTAGGTTAAGTGTACAGTATTTGTATTTAAATGTAAAACATATTAAGCGATTAGCGGCAGGATACAGACTTTTCGGTACCACTTTACAATAAGACTACCCTTATAAAGGATTCATAAAGGGTTTATAATTAGGTTATTAATTAGGTTGTAAACACTTTATTAATCCTTAAGAACCATTTATAAACCAGTTCTAGCATAGTTTTCAACACAGGCTCACTATTTGGCAAGATGACTAAGCCTTATATTGGCTACCTAGCGAGAATCAACTCAGTGAGCAACAGATACCAAGGATGCTGGCTGATGAAGAAGATGAAGTAAGCTAGGCAGCCAAAATAAGGCTTAGTCATCTTGCCAAATAGAGAGCCCACATTTATCTGTACTGCCAAGTCTTTGTTGGCTACCTAGCTTACTTCGTCTTCTTCATCAGCCAGCATCCTTGGTATCTGTTGTTCACTGAGTTGATTCCCCCCCCATCCATCTTGATGTTTCTTGGCATCTCTTTATGACCATTTATTTATGAGTTACTAACATTTATAACAGCCAAAAGGGAGCCTTATTGTAAAGTGTAAAACACATTCCCATTTATTAATGAGTTACTAGCATTTCTATTAAGGCTTAGCGGTTCAGATACATGTGGGCTCAATATTTGGCAAGCAACCGGTCACAGTTGCCCTGTTTATCTCATGTCTTATAAAAGCTTATTAAGGATTTGTAAAGTGTTCACAACCTAATTAATAAACGAATTACAAACTATTCGTAAACCCTTTATAAGGGCAGTCTTATTGTAAAGTGGTACCGACTTTTCTTTAAAATTGAAACACTGAAATGGCAACAGGCCAAGAGAGAGAAGGAAATCAAGATCCAATGGTAATTTAGGACGAGTAACCAGTCAGAAAGAAATAATCAAACTGAAAACGATATAAAACTATTACTTGTTTGTTGTTAAGAAAGAAGAAGAACAGATACAAGGAGAGAAGACAGCAATTGTTTATAGTTTATAATTTAAAGGTGATAAAAATGCTTAACATCAAATCCAACTGGGTTAAAATGATAAAACTAAAGACTGTATTTATGTATGAACCAATCCAGGAATAGTGCTGTTAGGGTTAATACATGTTATTCTCCATGGATGAAGTGTTTACCAAAGCATCTCAAACATATGCATCTACAACTAGTGCTTCACACATCTAATTTTCTACCTGATTGAGAATCCATTCAGCAGGAACGTGACTCTATCTGCACAATATTCCCTTCATTAGGAGGAAAATCTCTTCTCACTGAAGCCTTGGGGGGTTGTAAGGCAGCTTCAATAAAAACATGAGAGAACAGGTTCACTTATTTAGTCGTAAGCTTTACTACAAAAAACAGAGATGGCAAAAGTACACTTTCAGTATCATTTACTCAAGTAGAAGTACAGATACTCGTGTTTAAAAATACTCTGGTAAAAGTAGAAGTACTGACTAAACTTCTTTACTCAAGTCAAAGTAAAGAGGGCTTTGAAATGTACTTAAGTAAAAAGTACCCATAACTAGCAGCTGTTTTAAAGAGTACCTGACCTCCCTTTATATTAATAGAACAATAATGTCATTGTTAGCTAATGAATGTTTCCATGCTGAACAACGGCAACATGACAACGTTTTCATTGGTCCCTCTTCTTTAGAGAAGACCAGGAAATGATGGATACACGGATCGTGTTCAAATCAATAGGCACGCAATGACTCTAAATAATAATAATCACGCCACCAAACACACATTCAAACTAAAGGAACCAGCCTGTTTGGAAAATGTGAGAAGTAGAAAGTACAGGTATTTGTGTTCAACATGTAAGAAGTAGAAAGTACAGGTATTTGTGTTCAAAATGTAAGAAGTAGAAAGTACAGGTATTTGTGTTCAACATGTAAGAAGTAGAAAGTACAGGTATTTGTGTTCAAAATGTAAGAAGTAGAAAGTACAGGTATTTGGGTTCAACATGTAAGAAGTAGAAAGTACAGGTATTTGTGTTCAAAATGTAAGAAGTAGAAAGTACAGGTATTTGGGTTCAACATGTAAGAAGTAGAAAGTACAGGTATTTGGGTTCAAAATGTAAGAAGTAGAAAGTACAGGTATTTGTGTTCAAAATGTAAGAAGTAGAAAGTACAGGTATTTGTGTTCAACATGTAAGAAGTAGAAAGTACAGGTATTTGTGTTCAAAATGTAAGAAGTAGAAAGTACAGGTATTTGTGTTCAAAATGTAAGAAGTAGAAAGTACAGGTATTTGTGTTCAACATGTAAGAAGTCAAAGTAAAAAGTCGTCAGAAAAATAAGTAGTGGAGTAAAGTACTGATACCAGAAAAATGTACTTAAGTACAGTAACGAAGTATTTGTACTCCACTACTTCCCACCTCTGGCAATATCCATGTCCCTCTGACAGTAAACAACCAGAGGGAGAAATATCACGGATATCTTTGTGGTCAAAAGATGGACAGATGCATGCATAGAAAGAAAGAAAAATAGTTAACTTGCTGCTGTTTGTTTTGCAGGCCTTCCCAGGGAACAGTAATGCAGACAGTGTGGTGCAACATAAGCTCCAGCAGCCGGTTATCGGCCGCTACGTCCGCCTGACCCCGCTGGACTGGAACCCCAACGGACGCATCGGACTCAGACTGGAGACCTTCGGATGTCCTTACAGTCAGTCTGGGCTTTCTGTTTCAAATCCTTACAGTACAGCATGAACTGACAAGATTAGAGTAGGGTGGAAACCAACAAAAGCTTCCCTATTCCTCTTCAAATTCTAGACACTTTTGAGCATGCTAATAGCTTACCAATCATCCTCTTCATTTATATATGTTTTAGTTCAAATGTAAAGTCTTGAATCACCTGCCCTTTTAGGATGAAATCAAGCTTCATTGTGTTCGTGTATCCCACTGACAATTTAAACTTCACCAGGATAACCTACTTCAAGTCAAGCATGGGTAACCGTTATATATCAGGGCAATCCAATAACAATGACATAGACAATATTGTATTTTAAAATGATCATCCAAAACTTCTTAGCAATGTTTGTGTTGGTTTTTCTTTTTCCTAAAGAATCTGTCAAGAAAAATGTGAGATTCAAATTGTAGTTACTATTGAATAGTATAAGCATACAAAACAGGATCAGTTCACTAAGAAAAGTTAAGGGAACAATCCACGAGTAAGGGCGCATTCACACCAGCCTTGTATAGTCCGGTTAAATCGAACCCTGGTGCGTTTAGCCGCTTGGTGCGGTTCGTTTGGGTCGGTGTGAACACAGTCTGAGACCTCTGAAGTGAACTAAACAACCGGACTCTGGTCCGCTAAAATAGGTGATCTCGGAACGCTTGCTTGCGAACGCTGGAGCGGTTCATCGCTGGTGTGAACACAGTCCGCACCAAAACATAGGAAGCGTAGTATTTACGTGTCACAAGAACGCGGATGTCTTCAAAATCGTTAGTGAAAGAGTGAAGCAGAATGAAGTGTTGAACAGTGTCGTGTAAAGTAAAAACAACTATCAAACTAAAAACTATACATAAAAGTCAGAGCCACCTGCCGTCGGTGAAACCCCCTCCTTACTGCAGAACGTCTCTCATTATATATGTTATAATGTTTTGTATCGCACGTTGTCTGATTATATAATCATATGCGCCGTTGCTGTTGATATGCTCTCCAGATTAACAACAGCATGAAAATAACCTGCCGATGCTCCATGGCGGAGGCTCCGGTAGAAATTGCCGGGATTTGCGTTTTTACCCCCTTAATGTCTGACCAATGGTTGAACAGCATTTCCGAGCACATGACTTGTGTTTAAAGTTTATAGTCCGTTTGAGTTTTGCCCGTGTGAACGCAAACCGAACCTTCTGGAAAATGTAACAATGTAAGAAACAGACCCCGCAAACGACAACGGGTCCAAAGGTGGATAGATCTGGGAACGGAGCGCTCTGGGGGGTCCAACGGGGACGTGGGGTCGCCTATACGGTCATCCGTTTCATAGCCCCGTCTCTCCCCACCTCTCCCCACCTCTTCCCACCTCTCCGCGTACCCCGCATCATTGCTGATGTGTTTCGTTAACAACAACAATGGCGGATCGCAGGGTTGCACCATTATTGTGGGTTGTGATAATGACGACTCATTAGCCCCGCCTCTCCCCACCTCTGCTGCTCACCCCCGCAAAAGTACACTGCACAATGAATTCAGATTATATATCTTTATCTCGATATGGACATAAACGCGAGTGAAGTCTAATCTGACAGGACGGAGACACGCAGCTCCTCCGGCTGTGAAGCAGCGAGAGCAAAACACACACTTCAAGTCAGATCATCACCCTTAGCTATTTTAATTACCTCTCAAACTACCTAAACTAGTTATAAATATGTTTATTTTTACTGTCGGGTTTACTTACTGGATCAGCTGCTGCATGAGGAAGCATGAAGATTTAAACTTTAACACACATTGACCGGCGAAAAACTCTGCGCGGTTCCCTCCGCCCCCACCGCGGAGAATAAACAGAAGTGCAGCCATGACAACCATTCTTCTTCGCTGCTTTTGTGGAGGAAGTTGCTGCTTTTTGTGGAGGAAGTTACAGCGCCACGTACAGGTTCGGCATATGTACTGCAGCTTTTCCAGCGGTTGGATGTAAACGGAGCCGTCTCGTGGAGCTTGACACAATCCGGTGTATATTGCGTGTGGTCGGAAGGTTTTTTGCGGTTGCGTTTGCGTTACTCCGATGCGTTTTGCCGTATGGGTTCCCGTGGAGCCGGGGTCTAAGAGTCATCCAAATGTGTTAAAAATAATAAAATGAAATATCACATGTACATACAGTAAGTATTCACACCCTTTGCTTTGGCACTGAAAATTGAGCTCGTTTCCACTGATCATCCTTGAGATGGTTCTATAACTTGACTGGAGTCCACCTGTACAGTAGTACATTCAATTGATTGGACATGACTTGGAAAGGAACACACCTGTCTATATGAGGTCCCACAGTTGACAGTGCATATCAGAGCACAAACCATCAAAAACTTCTTTGCAATTTCTTTGTTGGTTTTTCTTTTTCCTAAAGAATCTGTCAAGACAAATTTGAGATTCAAAGTGTAAATGAAAGATGTGCATATATATTGAATTCAAACACACCTCATATGTATACATTACACACAACACTGACTGGAGATGAAGCTGATGTTAAGCAGGCAGCAGATCAGATAGAGTAGGAATAATCTAAAGGAGTAAAAAACAGTGAGCCTATTGCACCTGTGAGTTAAAAATGAGAGCGAGTTTTGTAAAAGACACTCGGGCAGAGAGGACAACAGCTGCTGCTCCGACAGCTCTGGACCTCTTCATAGGTCTGCTGTCTGCCAGAGGAAACTTCATTACAGGAACACAGGCAGAAGTAATCTGTCTGAAAGAAGTCAAGCCGGTGTGAAAAGTTAATCAGTTCTTCTTGGCCCCCATAAAACAGGATTTCCACACACTTGTCATGCAAATCCATCATTGCAGTTAGATACAAAAATGAAATCCTGTTCAACTCTGTGGACAAAAGCAGTGTAAAATGAGAAAACTGCAAAAGTAAATGATGACATTTGTAAACCAGACAACAACAATTGAAAATAAATAGGATTAAAGACACATGAGGGGCTAAAATGGCTCAATAGATGAATCATTGTTAGGAAATATTAGTGTTTTTTTGGTCACCCTGGTTGGTGAAGAAAGCAAGTGTGTTGAAATGGGTTTAAATTGCTTGAATTTGAGGATAATGGCAACACTTCTTTGTTGAATTCAGACGTTAAAGCGGAAGAGAACATTGTCCAGGTTTGACTTTTGAATCAGTGTCGGGGTTTGTATTGTCTCCATCATCACTGTCAGCAATAAACGCTCAAAATGCACCAGTTGATGCAAATTGATGTATTTCAGTGATGCTTTCGACACGATAGGCGGGAGATTTGTAGCACATCGATGCTCAAAGCCATGATAGGCAAGGTTAGTGTATAATTTTCTTGAGTCATATGAGATATTTTCCCTAGTCTATAATCTGCTTCTCATATTCAGACATCAACTACACTATTAGCTCTGTGAAATAACAGCATTTTGTTCAGAGCTCAATGACTCGCCCACTTTCTTATTGAAACTCTGGCATTTAGTTCACGGCTCGGAGCAGAAAACGAGAAAATCCACAATGTTAAAAACTATGATCTACAGTACACCCACACTTGAGAACCGAATAATAACAAACAGAAATCCTGCTCGAAGTATAGAAGTTTTTTTCAAAGAAGTTGAAAAGTGTTTTCAGAACTACCATTAGTAACTATTGAATAATACAGTGGAAGCATACAAAACAGGATCAGCTCACTGGGAGCAATCCACAAGTAAGAGACGTCCGACTACCATAGAACACAAAGTGATTATAATTATATGTGCAAGTGCAAATCTTATGTACATACAGTGCACTTTCAAAGGCAACTTTATTGTCAATCTTTCAGTTTGTGTGTACAGACAGAGAGATCGAAATTCCGTTTTCCACAATCCCGAATATAAAAATACAAATGTGTATAAAAATATGTATAAAATGTGTATATTCTCTCATTATTTAGACATTTCCCACAGTCCCAATACTCAAATCAGTTGTACTCTTTATTTTATGTTCAGTTTGCATGATAATATCCAAAAGTCCCCAAATATAATGTGTCTTTTTGTTGTTTTTCAGACTCTGACGTGGTGAGTTTTGACGGCCGCAGCAGTCTCCTCTACAGGCTGATCCCCAGGCCGAGGCAGGCGACCAGAGAAAGCCTCTCTCTGAGTTTTAAAGCTCTGAGTGACTCGGGGACTCTGCTTCACGCTGAGGGACGGAGCGAACACAGCCTCAGTCTGCAGCTTCAGAAAGGAAGACTCCTCCTGACGCTGCGGAGAGGTACGACTCCGAAACCCTCTTACTCACAATGTCATGATCACTAAAAGTCATTATGAGATTTAAAACAGGTTCTTTGTTGACAGGGGCTTTCCGATTGGTGCTGTTATATTTCATTATACAAGCTACTATACTATACTGTTTTAAAGACTTTCCAGATGATGCAAACATCTATGGTAACTTTATATGAGAAGCCATAACACCTACAGACTGTAATTAATGATTTATCATCAACCATGTCACTTTATTTACTGCTTGTGATAACATGCATATTATTCATATCTCTCGCTCTGATTAGCCTGCAGTTGTGTGCGTGGAAACATCAGTAATCTATGAGGTGGTTGAACCTTGCTGGGTGTTTTTTGACCACTAGTTTCTATTATTTTGCTGTTGCCCTAAGTGTGCGGTGAATTTGAATTGTTACCGTCAAATTGGAAACAAGTATTATCGCAACGTACAGTATAGCGTTGTATCATATTTTGCATTAAGTAACATTGCGTTTAGCAGATACTTTTATCCAAAGTGACTTGCAATAAGATTTCCTTTGCCTTTGCTTTGGTTTTATTCATTATTAGGTTGATCCACTGATTCAACACTTATTAGTCTGCTAAAAATGTCACGAAAAATACTGATAAAATGTCAAATTTTTATCCTGAAAAATATTTAAAATGTTAAAAAAAAGACACTATTTCTGTGAAACATGATATTTGACAAAAACATGATATTTTACAAAAAGGGAAAGAGAAGAAAGGACTTACTTTTTTTATTGAACATGAGAATTGAAATGTGTTTCTCCCATCCTGAAAATACTCAAACTCATGTTTCAAATGGCTCAGGCACAGTACAGGAGTTAGTTAACTTATTTCCTCCATGGCACTAACTGCCAGCCTCTCTTATTTCATGCCATTGTTCACCCCTTTTAAATCTTACAGTAATCACAGAGAGTAATTTCCATCTTTACCTGCTTTGAATCCTCATCAGTGTTTGCAGTGGCCATCACCATAACAAAATGTTGAGAATTTTGTACCCTCTGTGTATCCCGAACATCACTTGAAAAAAGATGCTTAGTCACTGTTTGCATCGTACTGTCTAAACAGTTTTAATTAATACAACAGCTTATTAAAATACATGACATTTCTCCAAAAAAGTAAATTTCCCTCTTCACTGTACCTTCGTCATGTTGGTGTTTAGTTCACTAGCTTCATTATTTAGAGCAGATACTGGATTATTTAGTAAGAGTAAATACACTGGCGATCAATTTCCACTGATTTCTTGCCTCCTGGCTGAGCTTTAGTACGAATGAGGAAGGTTTCAAACAAGAAGACAAGCTAAAACTTGGTGTTTTTATTCTATATTAAGAAAGTAAAAGCTCTCCGGATATAAATTATGTACACAGAGTCGTTTCACTGCAGCTTGCTGACATTGCATGAATTTCAAGATGCAACACTAATTGCTTAAATGCGGAATATGTTTGCACGAAAGACACAGCTTACTCACTGTATGAGTCTGCAGAGTTTATGCATGAACTTTTGACCTGGCTCACATTTTCCCAGAGGAGCAGACGGGAGCTGCTGGTGTGGCTCAGAGGTTCACGTGGAAGCTGCTGAAATCGAGAAGATTGATTTGTGGTGGTGTAACAGCAGCTTGGGCTGGAGGCTCAGTTGCATTTGGAGGAGAATACATCATGTAATAATGGACTGAAGGCAGTAAAGGGGCAGAAATAAGTCAAAAGTACTGGTGTGGTGCTGCGGCACAGGCACAACATACAAATATGAACCTGGAAATGAGCAGAATATGTCCTCATTAAAGGGGACCTATCATGCAAAATGCACTTTTTTAATGTCTTTTATATATAAAGATGTGTCCCCGGTGTGTCAGGGAACTCACGCAACGTCAGAAAATAAAACCCTCTCTCTTTTCCTCCGTACCCAAATCTCTTAAAACGGGGGTACAACGGAGCTGATCCAGATTTGCGTCCGATATGACGTAATATCTGAAATGTGGACCCACGGCCCTATCAGAAACGTTGCTATCAGAAACAATGCCGACGTGTTTTGGACGTAATATGGTCTTTGTTTACATTAGCAAGCATCGCTAACACTCAGAGCTAACCTGTACTGGAGAGAGTATGCGTACAAAAGCAGGAAATAAAAAAGGAACTCACCTGTAACAGAGCGATATGAGGGATGTCTGAAATGCATCTGTTTGGCATTTTGAGCAAAACACATCATAGACATGTTTTATATATATTTTGATATATCTGAGACCCATAATATATGCCTAAAAATAGCATATTAGGAGACTTTTAAAACTTGTTCTGAAGGTGTTTCTATCGCTTCTAAAAATGGTGTTCTATGATTTTTGAGGACACCACTGCCATGAAAATGAAATGGAAAAAATGAAAGAAACGATTACAGTGTCTGCTTGTTTCTATCAGCAGAGACCGTTCTCGAAAATGTGACAACCCACGTAGAATGACAGAAAGTCAAACTTTGCTATGGTTTTCATGCATCTTAAGAAAGACTCACAAAAGGCAGAACAGCCGTGGAATATCAATGCAGTGGCGACTTCTTCTCAGGATTCATTTTAATGCCAGGTTTCTTTGGAAGTCTTCAAACACAAAACCTTCCTGAACTGTTTTCCTGGAGCTTTTGTTGTGAGCAGATTGTTTCTCACATATTATTCTTGTGTTGACTGATTGCGTGCATGCGCTCCGTCTGAATCGTTTAAGATGAACGAAATGAAATGGAAATACGGAAACAATTACAGTCTGTCATCTGATAAGAGCTGTCTTTGTCTTCCAACAAAATTAGATTTAGAGTCTCTGTGGAGAGTCGTAATGCAGCAGCAGACAGCAGATGATTAGGTGATATTGCCTTGGGGAGCTGTCAGAAGTCATCTAACAACCTGCACTTTAAAGAGTTCAAAGATTTCAAGGAACTTTAAGCAGCTTCTCACATAGTTTACCTTTAAAAGTCCCTTTGAAAAGGCAGCATGAATTCTGTGGATGCTCCCTGAAAACCAGTACATTAACCATTAGTAAGTCTGGAGATTTAGGAAATGGGAAGTGTCTGCATGAGTTTTAGTTTTGGAAGAGATTGTTTCTTAAAAGGTTACATAACCATGATGGAGCGAACAGACACCTAGAGGCCAGGAAGTTACTAATCCTAGTTATTGATTGTTCATCTCATTGCTTACTGGATAAAAGAAAGCTCCTTTTGGCAAGATCGTATAAAGTCCCTTACACACCAAGCCGATTTCGGCCGTCGATAGATGTCGATAGATGTCGGGCCGTCGGCCGTCGATGAGCGTCCTGTCGCCCTACTCAGATTGGTGTGTCTTGGTGTGTCCCGCACCGTCGTGTCTTTTCGGCCGCGCCGACACCTTCGGCTAAAGGCCGTCGGCCAAAGAAATCACTCTGATTGGCTGTTCAGCTAGCGAATCAGTGCATGAGAAGCGAAACGGAAGTGAGGAACCCAAACAAACTGTTAAGAAGGCAAATCTGAGATTTCATTTAACTCCAGCTCTCGACACAGGTTCAGGAAAGCCCCATTAGCTTCTCGCTGTAGAGTGAAAATGGAACGCACACGCTATTTGTTGTTTGTTTATATCACGCAGTCTGTTCTTCTTCTCTCGGTGTATCACGCAGTCTGTCTTCCGGTTGTTGCCTCTTTTGAATGACGAATACACACTACCGCCACCTGCTGGTAAGGAGAGTTATTGCCACTCACGCATGCGCAGTTCATACGTGCAACTTGGCCGTCGGCTGAAGTCTTTGCGGTGTGTTCCAGTGCGACACATGGCCAAGACGCAGGAGACGTGAGACGACGTTCCGTGGGGACGTGTTCTTTGGTGTCAGTTTGGTGTCAGTTTGGTGTCAGTTTGGTGTCTGTTTGGTGTCAGTTTGGTGTCAGTTTGGTGTCAGTTTGGTGTCAGTTTGGTGTCTGTTTGGTGTCAGTTTGGTGTCAGTTTGGTGTCAGTTTGGTGTCAGTTTGGTGTCAGTTTGGTGTCTGTTTGGTGTCAGTTTGGTGTCAGTTTGGTGTCAGTTTGGTGTGTAAGGACCTTAACATTGGAAGATGAGGCGGTGCTAATATATTATCTTCCTGCTTTTTAAACCCTCTAAATGTCTTGTTTCCTCAAACATCAGCACAGATAGCAATATGATCCACTGCGTGTCAAGTTCACCAAACTTTCTATGAATTAAGATTAGCTCAGTGATCAAATTCACTTCAATTCAAAGTTAATCTATGACAGAAGTTTTTTGTGATTTAACGATTGATGAACACATATCCATAAATGTAAGTAAATTTAAGTCAAATCAAGTTCAGAAAAGCAAAATAAGGTAAATATAGAGGAAAGTAAATATAGAGGGAAGTAAAATAAGTAAAGCAAAGCGAAGGAAAGTAAAGTACATTTAAGTGAAGTGAGTTAAGTGTTTTAAAGTCAAGTCAAGTTCAGATAGCAAAGTAAAGTAAATATAGAGGAAAGTAAATATAGAGGTAAGTAAAGTAAGTAAAGCAAAGCGAAGGAAAGTAAAGTACATTTAAGTGAAGTGAGTTAAGTGTTTTAAAGTAAAGTCAAGTTCAGATAGCAAAGTAAAGTAAATATAGAGGAAAGTAAATATAGAGGTAAGTAAAGTAAAGTGAAGTGAAGCTGATTAGAGTAAAGCAAAGTACAGTTTAGTAAAGTAAAATTAAATGTTTTAGTAAAGACCAAGACAAAGCGATTTACCAAAACTTAACCAAATGCTAAGTGCATAAACATAACTAAAGGAAAGTTAAACAATGCTTTAGTTGCAACAGGCTGATATTGAACGTCATTGTGTTTCCTTTGAAATGTAGTTGCTGCTGAAAGCTAGCTGTATATGAGAATCTCTAGGATATAAAGCTTTATTTATAGGAGACAGGGTTGCAAGGAAAGATCAGTAACTTAATACACTTGACTTTGACATCAATTCCCTGTTTCTCTCATTCTCTCACACTACCTCCTGATGAAGTACTCTCTGCCTCTGTGGTCTCTCCTCTGCTCAGTATCTGTCTCACAGATCAATGATGATTGATCACTGAACATGGTTCACTCTCTCTGTCTCTCTTTCTCTTCGACTCCTTTGACCACACAGACTCCATTCAAACAATATCTAATTCATATTTAATGACCCGAGTGCCTTAAGCTCCGTCTCCTCCTCACCTCCTTCTCTCAGCTCTGCGCTCAGTCTTCACTTTGCCTTTTTAATAACACTTTTCTACCTCGATCTCTGCCACCATTAGTATTCATTATGTGTTGTCACCTTCATTTTAGGTTTTTTTGTATCAGTTTATCCTGAGATCTAATCCCCTGCTGAAAAGTTTGACACTAATTTACTAATTTAGAGACATAAAAACAGCATTAACCTCAAGTAAACTGCGATATTGTGTTCCTAGAGAGATGGGGAACCAATGGTGAAGAAGCTGTATTTCCTATGCTGTTAAAAAAAAACTGCAGATATGAGGGTACAACTATTTTAATGAATAAAACACCAGGAATAAAACTGTAGGAATAAACCTCAAATATTTTTAAATCAATGTGAGGTTTTAAGCATTTTATTCTTGTATTTTATTTTTGTATTTTTTATTGGGCGATAACAGAACAGGTGAAGACAAATACAGTGCTGTTTAAAAAAATAAAATATTATATAAATAATAATATTATAAACAATAATGATTTGAAAAAAAAAATAATAATGCACTTAAATAAAAAAGTTTAAATTGGAGTTACCGCTCCTTTTCATCCACCCTCTTCATCTCACTCTTCGTCTTCCTCCCGCTCTCCAGGCAGGAGCTCCTCCCCTGACAGCCAGCACATGGTGTCTGTGGGCAGCCTGCTGGACGACCAGCACTGGCACCAGGTCACCGTGGAGCACCACAGCACCCACCTCAACCTCACCGTGGACAAGAACACTCTGTGGGTGCAGATCCCTCCAAGACTCACCCGCTGGGACCATGACCAGGTGAGGGACACACACAAACACACACTAACTGAATGTACTCTTCCAATATCAGAGTAGCACATGATAACAAAGGTATCCCAACTGTAGCTGTGTACATGACAGGATGTATGATTACCTAGAAGAGCATCAGGACTGTTTTAGGCATATGATAGCTATGTGATTAACATGATGATTCAGCCTCTATGGAGATAGACATATGACAAGCATGATCATTTCTGACGTGGAGCTAATCTGAATTAAACATTGAATACTGCTTTCTATTCCTCCATCTTGTGACTGTGTAACTCCCTCTCTTGGATATCAGCATGTGAAGGACACTGTTCAGGAACTAGTTGATGCTCTGTATGTGATGACTACTTCCATTCTGGAGAGGATCACAAATACATGGATCATGATTATTGAAGCTCAAGCCGGTGACGAGTGATTATTAACATTTGTATGTATTCAGAAAAAGTGAGGATTTTGAGAAAAAGTCAGTATTTTGAGAAAAATCCAGAATTTTGAGATTTTGAGAAAAAGTCCACATTTTGAGATTTTGAGAGAAAGTCAGAATTTTGAGAAAAAGTCAGAATTTTGAGAGAAAGTCAGAATTTTGAGATTTTGAGAGAAAGTCAGAATTTTTTGAGAAAAGGCACATTCACACCGCAGTACTTTTCCCACAAAGGTTCATGAGAACTTAATTCATGAGAACTCTTTCGTTCTCATGAACTAACGCGTTCACACCGGAATAAGTTCCTGAGGGAGGATTACAATATGGTCTAGCTGCGGCCGCGGCCAGTACACGACACTACACGACACGCCCCCTACACGACACGCCCACCTGACACGACACTACGGTGGCTGAGAGACATTACCGTACATGGCAGATTAAAAGCGAATTGACGACACTTATTATTATTGAGATCGTACATGGCAGATTAAAAACGAATTGCAAATGTTATTGTAGCATTTTAAGCAACTATTAGGCAAATAAATTAATAACCTAGTCTATCCGTTTGAGACACAACAGTATAACTTTCAACCCAAATCATTTTGTCAACAAACGGTGGTTTAGTAAACTTTTTTTAATATATAAAATAGGTATTAATGAGATAATCTATTGATTATGTTTGTCTAACTGCTACACATGTATTTTATACATAAATGTAGATATTTGTGAACATCTAAATATAGTTGTTAAAGGTTTTAAGATATACATAATCACATCATGGGGTCATTAAGGAACAAATTAGGAGGGCCAGTCAGGCCACTAATGAGCTCAATCATTCACATGTATTATTATTACTTTATAAATTAAAAGTACTAGGGGTCTATTACAAAACCTTTGAAGGAATCGCATCAATTAAAATAAATGTATGGCAAGTATGATCAAATTAACATAATGTCGAGATATAGCCAATAGACAATCAACATGCTTTGAATATAAAGGAAGAAGAACAATAAACAGATGAACATTTAGGTTTTATGTGTAAATTGTGAACAAACCATCTTAATACATCTTGGCAGTCTAAGACAGCAAACTAAGCTTCTTTAACTGCTGCTAGAACACAGTTTTACCATGGGGTATTTCTAACAAGACCAAAAAGATATACAAGGCTTCCAAAACAGAAGAAACTAACTCAATACAGTATTTTAATTTCCTTCAAAACGACAAAAGCACTAATAAAAACCAAATAACAATACCATAAAGGAAAAGTAATTGAAGTGGTTGCCTGTTGTAAATACCTTGGTATCTGGCTTGATGATTGTCTCTTCTCTTGCGTTCGGTCATACCCCCCTTCCCATACTATTATCGGTCAAAATTGGCCGGTGTGTTTTGCACAGTGATATTTCTGGAACCCCTTATCCCATTTTGATGGTTGACATCTCATTTGAACAGTCAAAGCCAGAATGACAGCAGGGGTGAATTTCATTTTATAATTTTGCAATAAGTCAAAGATATGTTTACTGTATATTATAAAAATGCTTGTCATGTAGGCATACTGGAGATGGGAAGGCTTTAGTCAGTGTTGTAGCTGAGATTCTTACCGTTCCAATGATGTATTAATAATAACTTGGATTTATATAGCGCCTTTCATGAGACCCAAGGTCGCTTTAAAAAGAACAGGAGTAGAAACAAACATAACAAAAGGCAGTCAGACGAACAGTTAGACAGACAAAACAAATAGATTTGGAGCCAAAGACCTTGGCAGACTTGAGGGCCCTTTTGAAGGCGTCAAGCGTGGGGATGTTGCAGATCTCCGCAGGGAGAGCGTTCCAGAGAGTGGGGGCTGCCATACTGAAGGCTCTGTCCCCGAAGGATCGCAGGTTGGTGCGGGGGGCCAGAGTCTGAAGACCGCAGGTTCCGGGGTAGGGCATGTGGGAATTGTATTGATTTGATACAAGCAAGCCAGTGTTTCATTGTGTACTTTCAACTACAGTATATGGTCCGGCAAGTTCAGCATTCACTGCATTCACTGTGATGAATATACAATAAGACACTGATACCGTTTTCCTCAATGAACATTTATTGAACAGAACATCATGTGGAAAATCAGAGGGGCACTATTCAAGCTGGTCTGCTTAAAAAAATAATAATAACCTTTTAAATTGATCCCAACAGTAAAATCAACATGATTTTAAATAAAAATGTAAGCAGCCAGGATTGACCTGCAGGGGGTTAAAGCCTATTTAAATTGGTAGAGCACATTTTGTGTCTTGATATCTTGTTGAAAAAAAAAAAAAGTTTAACTCCATCTGATTCAGCCAGCTCTACCCTTTTGGTTGACATGTTATGCACAAAACAACCTCTAGATGTCACTGTGGTTCGAACAGAAAGCCCTTCAGCTAGTTTACATCTTTATATATACAGTCTATGGTTTAAATGTCAGGCCTACAGTATGGCCACAAACCCCATCTAAAAACAGAGGCCTGATTGCATCCACCTGGGTTACTTGGCTCTACCCAATAACTATATATCATTTAACTTTAAACCACACTTAAAATAATAATATAATTATACATATGTGCATGTCAGTATAGCAGCTAATACATGTTTGTTTTTTTAAAACATTCAAATGTGAAAGACACCTTCAATGAATATTTAAAACTTACACAAAATCAGATTCTTGTAAAAATGCGAGTACATGCATTGTTCCATCTGTCAAGCTAATATATATACATATATCTTAGCTCTTAGCTTGACATGCTAACTGAACGAGCATGTTCAGTTAGCATATATGCTAACTGAACGTTGAGCATGTCAAGCTAAGAGCTAAAATATATATATATATATATATATATATATATATATATATATATGTATTCCATTCCTTTACATTTAATATTTAAAATACAAATTAGCAAAATAAACACAATTACACTGCGCTAAACAGCCACATCGACAAACAAACGAGAACCTAAATAGTATGTAATTATATCTAAAACCACAATACGTTAATTACCTGTACTCGGTGCGCCATATTGTTTGTCTGTTCTCTGTAAACCTCATGTCTCCTTAAATATCCTTGCGTCAGCGTCAGTGTCGTCAATTCGCTTTTAATCTGCCATGTACGGTAATGTCTCTCAGCCACCGTAGTGTCGTGTCAGGTGGGCGTGTCGTGTAGGGGGCGTGTCGTGTAGTGTCGTGTACTGGCCGCGGCCGCAGCTAGACCCTTCTCGAGGATTAGGCAAATGAAGCGTCACTTCTTCTTCTTCTGCTTTGGGTTTACTGGCAGGCCGCAAACAACTTCACGGCGTATATTGCCACCCGAAGTCCCCGGCCGGAAGTCCCCGTAGTTGGGGACTGGCGACACCTCCTCATCTCCACCACTCCCATGTTTTCTTTTGTGTTGCCATAAGTTAGTCTCTCTGCGTTTCTGAGCTGGGCTAATGCTAATGCTAATAATGCTAATGCGAGGATAATAAAATGGCGGCTTCACAAAACTTTTTTGGAGTTTTACGGGGCGTGGTTTGCAATCCGCCCAGCCAATCAGACATAGGAACCTTTTTCTCCCACGAAAGTCCCTGCTCTCTAGCAGGGACGGAAAAGGGGGTACAAAAGGTTCTCATTAACTAATTTTAGTTCCGGCTCTTTTTGGTGTGAACGCAACATTTCGGAACTATATCGGAACTAAAGTGGGAAAAGTACTGCGGTGTAAACGCGCCGAAAGTCAGAATTTTGAGAGAAAGTCCGAATTTTTAGATTTTGAGAGAAAGTCAGAATTTTTACATTTTGAGAAAAAGTCAGAAATTTGAGATTTTCAGAAAAAAGCCAACATTTTCAGAAAAACTCAGTATTTTGTACATGACAGCATGTATGATTACCTACAACAACCGGTATTCCTGCATCTTGTGACTGTGTAACTCCCTCTCTTATATCAGCATGTGAAGGACACTGTTCAGGAACTAGTTGGACCAAATGCTCTGTATGTGAGGACTACTTCCATTCTTGAGAGGATAATAGATACATGTATCATGATATTGAAGCTCAAGCCGGTGACGAGTGATACGTTTCTGACACTAACATTCACACCTGCTTGAGTTGTATTGACGTATTGGTCTTTATGCTCACGTTTCCTCCGTACAGATGAGTGTGGGAGCAGACCAGGCTCTCGGCTCTCAGAGGTCGATCAACAGACATTTCCACGGCTGTTTGGAAAACCTGGAGTACAACGGCGTGAACATGATAGACCTCGCCAAGCAGAGAGACCATCGCATCACTCTGAAGGTAAAATGGCTCACAATGTGCCAATAAAAGGTTTTTTAACGACTGCTGCTATTGCTTTAACATTGTGAGTCTGAGTGTGAATCATTATGGAAAAATGTGATCCTGGAGACACCAACAATTAGGCTGTACAAAAAAAGCCACTAGGGGGTAAACATGGGAAGAAAACACTTGGTCGTGCACAGAGAATCCAAAAACAAAATCGTCTGACCATGTATTCCTCCACAAACCAGGCAAAGATAAAGTTCATTCCAATACCAGTAACTTTGAGTGTAATGGTGAGTGCAAGTGGAAGTGTGATGGATACTGCGGTGTCAGAACAGAAAATGTCACTTCCTGACTCAGAAACACATTGATTCATCAGTTTATTGTTCATATTAATAATGTGAATCTGCGACGGAAGCTGTAAAATGAATGTAGTGGAGTAATAAGTACAACTTTTACCAAGAAAATGTATTAGATTAAAAGTAGGAAGTAGGATAATAAGGAAATACTGAAGTAAATTACCTCAAAACTTAAGTGCAGTACTTGAGTAAATGCCCTTAGTTACTTTCTACCACTGACAATGGGGCGGCAAACAAGATGCCCAAATGCTCCCAGTCCCTTATTATTTATTTCTCGTTCCTCTTCTCTTTTTCTGTCCTCCTCTCTGACCTTGGGGTAAATTCAGCTTGATCTCTTGGTGCTTATTCAGAGCTATTATCATTATGGTAATACTCGCATGCTTTTTAAGGACTCTTGCTGATGAGATCTCTGCATCAGGGCGCCGCCATGCAGCTCTGGAAATTAATTCAAATTCATGCGTTATCGAGTTTTCCCTTTTTTTCTGTATTCATTTCTCTCCCTCCTCTCCACATATCTCAGGGCAACGTGACCTTCTCCTGTGATGAACCCGTTTTTGTTGCGATGACGTTCACCAGTCCCCAAAGCTTCCTCTGGTTACCGAGGATGAGTGAACGGTCTTCATCGAGCATGACGGTGGGGTTTCAGTTTCGGACGTGGAACGAGGAGGGGCTGCTGCTGACCTTTGACCTCCCGAAGCAAGGAGGGGCGGTCTGGCTGTACCTGAGTAAAACCCGGCTTCATCTACAGATCCACACATCTGGGAGAGCGCCACTGGAGCTCAGTGCAGGTCAGTCTGACCCCAAAACAACCAAATTCAGGACCAATTATTGCCCCTTTTTAACTGTATTTTTACATATTAAGCAATGGATCGCAGATAATTCTCTTCAGCTCAAGCAGGACATACGTAACTAAACTCTTGCTTGTTTGTTCTGAAGCTCAAACAGAGAAACAGGGTTCAAAACTTCAAAAACTACTTTGAAATCCTTGCCAACAAGTTAAGAATCAAGGGGTTATATTTGATTTAGAGTTTAACCACATACATACATAACAAAAGTGTGATTTTATCATCTCAAAAATAATGCTAGAGTACGGCCAATTCATTAGCACAGATTCATTAATGCACACTTTTATTACATATAAATGTGATTACTGTAATACTATTAGTTATGGTCTCACTAAAAAAACGACAGAATATTCATTACACTTGGAGCATGGGCAACAGAGTGACCCTTTAAATATTTGGAGACGATCTAAATCAAGGAGCAGATAAAGACTTTATTTTTCACTTTCCTTAGCAGGGCAAAAGTAGCATTTGGCCTTTGTCTGGTCTGCACTCTGAGCTCCTTTTGAGTTATTAAAGAAACTCTGAATAGCTTGATTTTGAAGCATGTCAAGGTCTTTGTTTCTATCTTAAAAACTGAAGAATTGGCACAATACCAAGGTTACTTTATATTCTGTATAGACAGAAAGCTGACAGAACAGACTAAAATACATTTCCACACTTTTGATGTAGTAGTAACTATGAAATAATATGGAAATGTCAATCTTGAGGCGTGAAGAACAGAAAAATCCATTCAGCCATCTTCCTGTAGGGTGATTAAGCCAGATACTGAATCCTCACCAGTTTTTACAACATTGATTCGTAGCTAAACTCCACCTCTGACCTCCCTGAGGCCCAAGGCAATCACGGGAAATCTCCCTACAGAGATCGATAAGTTAATGACTGGAATTATAATCCTAACCTCCAGGAAATAAAGACCAGACAGTTGTATATCTGTATCTTTGTGGACAGTATATTGTATATTTCTGTTATTATTGTATGTATGTATGAATGCATGCGTGTCACTGTTGTATGTTGTCTTTTCTGAATGTTTTGATGGCACCTTAAAAGGAGTAGCTTTACTCTTCTCGTTGTGCTTGTATAATGGCAATAAATGCTTCTATTCTATTATCTTCTATTCTGTATGTCTGTGTACTTAGGATCAGCTCTGGATGACGGTCAGTGGCACTCTGTGGAGCTGACCTCCAGACGAGGACATCTCTCCGTCTCTGTGGACGGGTGGGAAGGAGACACGGCCAACGCCAGCCCCCCGTTTCCTGTTTCCACTGACGGTCAACTCTTCTTTGGTGGTAAGAGAGGGACAAACACATGAACACATGCACAATCGTCAGAGGTTCTTATCATCTGAAATAATTGCAGAGGACTTTTAAACTTCAGAGAAGAGTGAAGAACAAGTTTACGCTGAAATGCATTTATTTCCCCTTGTAATGTGGATATGTTTATTATATTTTCTGTTCATTAAACCTTTGTTTAGAGTGATACAATTAACCATTTAGTTAGAATTAGCTTAGTTTAGATTTAAGGGAATTGTTTTAGGTGTTTTTAAGCGTGCCAATGCTACTGTGTATAATACATAAACCTTATCGTCCAATTCTACAGTAGATGTATGAGTGAAATATATTTTAACATATCTTCTGTTTAGTGTTCCAATTCTCAAGCTTTGTATAATATACATTTTCTAAATAATCATAATGTGTTGATTTAGACTGGGGTTATTGCACATTTCATTGCATCTTTAGATTTTACAAGACATTTGTCCGTCGTTTTTTGTCATACCTTACCTGTATTTTTAAACTGCATTGAATTGAATGGAATTGTACGTTTTCTGACGTTGTTCCCTCTTCTGGGTCAGGTTGTCCTTCTGAGGGGAGCAGCGATCAGTGTGTGAACCCCTTCAAGGCTTTCCAGGGCTGCATGCGTCTCCTGACTGTCGACAACCAGCCTGTGGACCTAAAAAAGGTGCAGCAAAGGCTGATGGGAAACTACAGTCACCTGCAGATCGACATGTGCGGCATCATCGACAGGTCAGACCATCAGTTTGTTCAGGAAAAGTTGACATAAAAGCAAACGTTGCAGTAAATTGGTTCTTACATTTATTTATCCATCTTAGGCACTTTGTATAATATGTAATACCAAATAGTTTGTGTCAAAAAGCCTTTTCAGTTCCTAATCTCCCCCTGAAGGCTCTGTGACTGGTTTCCTGTGAAATTGGGTTGCTCATGGATTATTAGACAGCAGAGGACTGGAAACAGAGAGATTATGGCGGCAGTGTCCCAGTCTCAATGTTTTCTCGCTAAGAAAACAATTCAGTTTCTGTTCTGTCTATAAAGCTTCAGACGGAGTGAGACGCAGCTTTCTGTCTTTGAGCTGAAATGTGGTTTCACTTTATGAGTTATTTGTGAGAAGCAACACACTCAAACACACTCAAACACACACACACACTCAAACACACACACACACACACACACACACACACACACACACACACACACACACACACACACACTCAAACACACTCAAACACACACACACACACACACACACACACGCAAACACACACACACACACACACACTCAAACACACACACACACACACACACACACACACACACACACACACACACACACACACAACACACACACACACACACACACACACACACACACACACACACACACACACACACACACACACACTGTCAGTACTAAACCAGAGTCACCCTGTAGTTCCCAGCAGCCTCTCTGTCAGTCGACTACAGTGACCAGCGGGAGAATCTACAAGAAGACGACATGCAGGGACGAGTTGCTGGAAATACTCACAGATAATAAATCTGAGCCGCAGTGAAACAACGGACTCATACGTGTTATCAGCTCCGACAAACAGGCTTTTTCTCTTACCTTCAAAATAAGACTAGCTTTTTAAGCTTTGAGCACTAGAGCCTCATTAAAATGTCTCATTTTAGTTGTCAGGTCCGTGTCGTTTACGCTGGGGATGCTGGAGACATGTCCGCCTCACTTTTGGATATTGCCAATTTTGTACACCCCACTTTTTATAAGCATAATTTGTTAAAAGAACACACACACACACGCACACACACACACACACACACACACACACACACACACACACACACACACACACACACACTCACACTCACACTCACACTCACACTCACACTCACACTCACACTCACACACACACACACTCAAACACACCAACATTGGGAGATGGTTGGCTCTATGTCTCAGTGTGGGATTGAGTTGGGGACAAATTGTTTCGACGTTATTGTCAGTAAAAGAGATTATTGGCAGGTTTAAAAAACAGCTTTCTTTCTGCTACTGCTGTTCAGATATTGTTGCCAGATGATCATCATCATGATACACTTCTTGCTTATGCTGATTGTTGTTGATTGTCAGGACTCCATTGCACATGGAGGCCAACTTTTACTTTGGGTAAACCAATTTTAAAGTTATATAACTTACTTTTAGCACTATTTTGAGGGAGTTTTCTGAACTCAAGTCAGAAACACCAAATGTCTGAATGATTTATATTAAATTAGATTAACTCGCAGGATTGGTCTGTTTCATAGTTTTTGTATTTTGTAAGTTTATTTGAAATAACTAGGTTAGCTACATTAGCTAGCTTACAGCAGTTCTGCAATAATAGGGATGGAATCATAAGATAAGATAAGATAAGATAAGATAAGATAGAACTTTATTGATCCCAATTTGGGAAATGTTTGTGTTGCAGCAATATAAAAAGACATGGCATTGTACAATACAAATTAAAAGACAAGAAATAAACAAGAAAGTAGAAAATATACATGTTGAATTTACAAATGAACAATAACAAGATATTTATATATTGCTTTAGCAAGGTATAATATATACATAAGTATGTGACGGATGGAATATTAAATATTAAACTGAATATATAAATGTAAAATGTACAGTGTGATTTTATTCCAAGAGAAACTATGGAGCAGAGACTTCTCTGCCAGCCAGAGGTGATTTGTTATAGAGATTTGATCACATTGTTAAAATAAGCCGGTAAAACTTATATATTCTGTACATTTCCAGCTACAGTGACAGTTGGCCAACTTTATAGCTTTGTAGCTACTTTATGTGCTTTGGCTTAGTGCGTCACTTTTCAGTGTTCCCGTTTCTGTTGTCTTGTTGGAGAAGATGTTTCATCGTTTGCATGTGTTTTGGCTCGTTTGTCATTTTATATGTGAATCAATTATTTTTTTTGAAACTGTATCTCATTTCCTTGAGGGAAAATGTTTCATGCTGTTGTAGCATGTTTGAACCTGTTAGCCACCGTCAAAGACTCAGTTATAGTTCAAGTACCTCAAAATGACAATATACTTGAGCATAACATACGGCCACTGGTTAGAACTATTTATACAGACATAAATCATGAGAATGTAAACTCTGGTGAACCAAGACACATTATTGTTCAATATAAAAATCTATTTTATTGACAGAATCAATATTATTGACATGTTTTTCAGCCTCTCGTCTTAATTGCAAAAAAATTGTGAGTGTGAGCAATAGCACATTGTTCACATTGTTCTCAGAAACATGACATTAGACCTTTTTATAAATCACTCCAGCTCACTGGTATACGGCATACAAATTATCCTCTGAGCAGCTCTATTTGCAATAAATGTCGTCTTGAAAAATGGATTAACATTTCTCCAGCCCCTCACCTGAAACCTGCATTCTTTTCTGAAAGCACTCACCGTACGCACACTGAATTTACCTTGAGACTTTGGAAAAATACACTTATTCTGCAAGAAGTGCGTGTATGTATGTTTGCAGATAAGGAGACAACAATGGCATATATTTAATTTAGTGGAGTAAATACATAATCACGCACCTCCATGTCTACTTTCAGTTAAAAAGAAATTGCTGCAAAAAAAACAACCTTTATCTGACAACTCAGTCCGCTGAGTCAGGCTTTTTCTAACAGTGAATTTCCCACTGATTTAAAGATTAAAAATACAAGCTGCTCTCTCTCTCTCTCTCTCTCTCTCTCTCTCTCTCTCTCTCTCTCTCTCTCTCTCTCTCTTTCAGTCTCGCTGCATTCACATTTTGCTGACCTAATTTCTCCTTAAAAATATGTTTACAGTGGCCGCTGAGCTCCATTCATGCCAACCTTCATCCCCTTTGTTGACGTCGCTGCTTCCTCCTTCGATCCGTCTCTCAACCTTAATTCCTCTTCCTGGATTTCTCTCTCTCTCCACAGTGTCTCCATCATTTTGTTCTATTTCCTCTTTCTGTCTCTTATGTCATAACCCTTTGTTATTCCTTTGGTTTCCTTTCTTTGCTTTCCGCCCACAGCTCAGTCCTGACTCTGAGAAAGTTAACAGCAGCAGCTCAAGCATGTTCCACTTTCTGTATTTTAGATGCCACAGTTCATGATAAATGTTATGTGAAGTTGGAGGACAGACACTTATTTACAATCCAATAAATCGCTGCAGTTCCCACAACCAGCTAGATCTAATTATGCACACTTGACTAGTACATACTTTTGCACCAAAGTATATTTTCACAGCGCGGTAGGGCAGCTGGTTTAGTCATAGATGTATAACAAGAACTGGACAGCTTTAAATGTGGGGCCTCGTCTATGAAAGTTGCTCAGTAGCGCATAAAAGCCAAAATTCCCTTACTTTAGGTACAAAAATACCATGATCATCCAGAAGTCCATTGAGCGTTCGAACTTGCGTACGAGGGTACACAGAAATTGTTGTACCCTCGTTTTGCCACTCGAAAGAGACAGTACAAAGAAAAGATGGAATCTGACTTCAAAGGCTGTAACACTAGGAATATGTGGGCGGGACTAAGGACAATGACTGACTACAAAGGAGCAGCGGGGGGTGCTGCGGGAGTGTCTGCGTGCGCATCTCTCCCAGATGAGCTGAACAGTTTTTTTGCACGCTTTGAGAGCAGCCAGGCTGTGGAGGTACAGAGGGACCAGGAGCTACACTGCCCTTTTGTTTTAAATAGGGCAGATGTGTGTAAATCCTTTAAAAGGGTTAACCCACACAAGGCTCCTGGACCTGATGGCATCCCTGGCCGTGTTCTCAGGGTGTGTGCAGTTCAGCTGGCAGAGGTGTTCACAGACATCTTCAACAGATCCCTGCTGCAGTCTGTAGTCCCCACATGTCTTAAACACTCCACCATCGTTCCTGTCCCCAAAAAGACAATCATCACCTGCCCCAACGACTACCGCCCAGTAGCACTCACCTCCATCATAATGAAGTGCTTTGAGCGGTTAGTCAAATTATTCATCACCTCCTCCCTCCCTGACTCTCTGGACCCCCTGCAGTTTGCCTACAGAGCAAACAGGTCCACTGACGACGCCATAGCCCTCACCCTCCACACTGCCCTCTCACACCTGGACCCGAAGAACAGGAACACATATGTGAGAATGCTGTTCATTGACTACAGTTCAGCATTCAATACCATTGTGCCCTCCAAGCTGGCCATCAAGCTCAGAGACCTCAGGCTCAACAGCGCCCTCTGTGACTGGATCCTGAACTTCCTGACGGGCAGACCCCAGGCAGTGCGGGTGGGAAACATCACATCCTCCACCCTGATTCTAAACACCGGTGCCCCTCAAGGCTGCGTGCTCAGCCCTCTCCTCTACTCCCTGTTCACTCACGACTGCGTGGCCACACACAGCTCCAACACCATCGTGAAGTTTGCTGATGACACGACCGTCATCGGCCAGATCACAGACGATGACGAGACGGCGTACAGAGAGGAGGTCGAAAACCTGACATCTTGGTGCCAGGATAACAACCTCCATCTCAACATCAGCAAAACTAAGGAGCTGATTGTGGATTACAGGAAGCAGCAGGGAGAGGGACACGCCCCCATCGCCATCAATGGGACTACGGTGGAGAGAGTCAGCAGCTTCAGGTTCCTTGGGTTCCACATCACTGAGGACCTGACATGGTCTCTTCACACCACCACCATCACCAAGAAAGCTCGACAGCGGCTCTTCTTCCTCCGCAGGTTGAGGAGGTTCAAAATGGATTCCAGGATACTCTGCAACTTCTACAGGTGCACGATAGAGAGTATCCTGACTGGCAGCATGACGGCCTGGTACGGCAGCTGCACCGACCTCGATCGTAAGGCTTTACAGAGGGTGGTGAAAACTGCACAGCACATCACCAGGACGGAGCTGCCATCCATGGAGGACCTTTACTCCCAGCGGCTCAGGAAGAAATCTCTACGGATTATCAAAGACCCCCATCACCCCAGCCACAAACTGTTCTTTCTGTTGCCGTCTGGCAGACGTTACCGCAGCATCCTGGCAAGGACAAGAAGATTCGGAGACAGTTTCTTCCCGCGGGCAGTGAGACTGTTAAAAAATTGAACTGTTGAAACAACATCAAACATTCATCTGCTACTCAGTAGTATGTATCTAATACCTAATATATATATATCATTCCAATAACTTGTATATAGACTCTATTGCACTATTCCACATCATAACTTTATTTCATTTTATAACTATTATTATTTTTGTATTGCTCATGCTCTTATTGTTATTATGTTATTATGTTGCATTGTTGGAGAAGCCTGTGACATAAGATTTTCAACTACATAATTACTCTGTAACTATGTCAGATTGACAATAAAGAACCTTGAACATTTGCTTCAACGTCAGGCACACTACCTGGGGCATCAGGACCGATGCTAAGGTGCTGTTTGAGGGTTTTTATAACTACCTGTTGGAGGGTTTATAACTTCCACTCCCACCTCTCTACTTGTTGGTTTGAAAAAGCACTAAAAGTAGTAGACACAAACTATGGAACTCTCTCCCCCTTCACATCCGACAGTCTGACACAATCACCACATTCAAGTCCCTCCTCAAAACCCACCTGTTCAGATCAGCCTACTCACTGTCGTGCTTCCTATCATCCGTTTCCCCTGAATAACCTGTCCCTATCATTTGTGTCCACTTTAATTGTCTTCTCCATGATGGTTTGTTTGTGTTTTTATCATGTTCTGTTGCTTTTACCTCTTAGAATATTTAACAAATTGTACGGTGTCCTTTGTTTTCATGAAAGGCGCCTTAAATAAAATGTATTATTATTATTATTAGACCCTCAACCCATCGCGCAAACAGAGTAAAGTGGGTCAGTGGATGCTGGTATCTGACCTTAACGTGTGTCTCCGTGTGTCTCTCAGGTGTTCTCTGAGTCACTGTGAGCATGGAGGCAGCTGCAGTCAGTCCTGGAGCTCCTTCCACTGTAACTGCTCCGACACGGGGTACAGCGGAGCCACCTGTCACAGCTGTAAGAGCAACGCTCTGTTCACTGTTGTTTAAAGGTCACACACACAGCATGGAGTGTGTGTGTGTGTGTGTGTGTGTGTGTGTGTGTGTGTGTGTGTGTGTGTGTGTGTGTGTGTGTGTGTGTGTGTGTGTGTGTGTGTGTGTGTGTGTGTGTTGTGTGTGTGTGTGTGTGTGTGTGTGTGTGTGTGTGTGTGTGTGTGTGTGTCCACATGTTTCCTGTAGTGAGACAAAATGCTGCTTTTAAGAAAAGTCCCTGCAGACGTTGTTGCAGAAGGTCAGGCTGTGAGGGTGGAGAGGATTTAGAATAGGAAAAAAGCAGGAAGCTAAATATATAATAAAAACGGTTTTAAAAATGAAGGGACTAATTAAAAATAACATTTTATTTCCCTCTGCTGTAAAAGAGATTTTTTAAAATTATATAAGATTCAATATGTGTGTAGTGACATCTACTTAAGATAATAATTATTGAGTGCAGTGCAATGCCTGTTTTGGGAGGAAAGCTTTGACTGTTTTCGAGAAATACTTCCGAAAAACAGTTTTCCAACAAAAGACAGCTAACATAATTGACTGTGATCTTTATGATGTTGAAGATAATGCCGTGTGTCTCTCCTCAGCGATATACGAGCAGTCCTGTGAGGCGTACAAACACAGAGGAAACACGTCTGGGTTTTATTACATTGATGTTGACGGCAGCGGGCCCATCAGACCACAGCTGATATACTGCAACATGACAGGTATACAGTACACACACACACACACACACACACACACACACACACACACACACACACACACACACACACACTCTCTCTCTCTTTGTACAGTCTCTTTCATTCCCCATTATATTTGTCCGTATTTCTTGCCTAGTATTGTCATATCTAATCATAAAATGTGTTTATATAGCATCTTTCAAACTGTAAAAAGTTGCTTTCTTGTAAAAGCAGAACACATGAAGTGTAATAAACACACACAGATAATAAAATGAACTAAATACCAGCAAACTAAACTGTACTATAAAACTATAAAATGCAAAAGGATGGGATGAAATACATACAAGACAGGTTTTGCAGCCATGACCTCTAAAGGCATTTAAATGTCCCACATAAACGGAAATAAAACATTAAATAAATGCATATTTTTTAAATGTCCTTTCTTCTGTGTCTCCCTCCTCCAGAGGACCAGACGTGGACGGTGATCCAACACAACAACACAGATCTGACGAGGGTCCGACCGTCGCCGGGGAAAAATCAGCACTCAGCTCACTTTGAATACACGGCTGAAGAGGAGCAGCTGACTGCCATCATCAGCCAATCAGAGCACTGCGAACAGGAAGTGATCTACCTCTGCAGGAAGTCCCGCCTCCTCAACACACCAGGTACAAATGTGGAGTATCCTGTGAAACATCATAGAGTTTAATATAAAGTTTCAGTACCAAAAAGAAAGCTGAATTAGGATTTGTAAATGAATATGACTCCTAAGATGTTAGTGTGTTTGCTCATGACGGACTTAAATTAATTAAAACAATCATTTCATAATAACAATTACTTTATTTTAATAGCACTTCTCAAGCTTTACAAGTTTAAAGTTTAACAGCCATGCTAGCCCCCTGTACGATATACTAAATTAGGAATATGAACACACATATAATAATGATAATGATAAAGATACATTTTATTTATCAAGTGCTTTTAGGAAGGTACTCAAGACTTTACATGTGCAGGTTAAAATACATACAAATCATATAAAGAACAACACATTTAAACATATACTGTACCAAGCAGCACTGATGAGGCCAGCAGTAAAGGGCTGCATAGTTCATTGTCCAGAAAAAAGGAAGAAATGTAAAAACGTGTGTGTTTTGTGTTGCAGACGGCCCTCTGCTCAGCTGGTGGGTGGGGGGTCCGGGTGGAGGACAGGTGCAGACGTATTGGGGCGGAGCTCCAGCAGGAAGTCAGCAGTGTGCCTGTGGTCTGCAGCAGAACTGTGTGGACCCCAAACACTACTGCAACTGTGACGCTGGACGCACTCACTGGTACTTTACGCTTACTGATAGCAACACGAATTACAAATTAAGGGAAGCATTAAAGGTCACCTGTTATGCAAAATCCACTTCTTCTCGTCTCTTCTACATCAACATGTGTCCCCTCTGTGTAAAGAGATTCTGAACGTTTCAGGAACAAAGATTCTCTCTCTTTTTGTCCTGATCCATTTATATAAAAACCTGTCTGAAAATGAGCTGATCAGATTTTGGCCACTTTATGATGTCATAACGATGTTTTGGCTTGGTAACCATTAGCCAATCACCAACCAAGGTAGCCCCCCCCCCCCCCCACCTTATCACCTGAATCTCCTCCTTGAGCACTATTGTGTTCTTTTTAACCAAATCTCTCTCATGCGGCTTTCACACCAGCGCTTTTCCCTTTCTAGCTCCTAGCGAGAGCTTTTCTGGTTCAGCTCCGGTTTCCCTTTTCAGCTCCCGCTCTGTTCACACTGCCCAGAGCTGCCGCTGCTGCGTCATGACGTCACCGTTTACGTCGCTGATTTTCTCCCACAACAACAACGGGCCGGGGACTGTGTCGGGTCGATGATCGTGTTGCTTCATACGAAGCCAGATTAAATTAAATAACGACTTCTCCAACCTTATACTTTTCTCCAGAGTGCCGTGGTTCATTGTTTATTAATGTGTCTCAGCTGCATTTACCGACTGCTGCAGTGCTGCTGCTCTTCCACGGGAGTTTATTCTCCCGTTAGCTCCGGGTTAGCTCACACGGCTCTAAAGTATTCACTGTCTGACTGTCACACAAGCAGCTGATACATATCCCCAGTTCCCCTTTAGTGAATGTGTGTCAGTCTGAATTGACGCTGTTTGGCATCACAACGCTGTTATGAAAGTTTCTCTGGTATAACATGGGTGATGTTAGCATAGCAACCGAAGCTAAACTGACTACTTGCTAAGCCGTTTTCTACAGGCACATTTTACCGGTGTATTTTTCATTATGATTCTACTTCTGATAGTCGGACATGACAACCTGTACAGCCCATGTATCTCCACAATGATCAATAACAGCGAACGGATGGTCAAAGTAAGGTTTCCTGCACGCCTCGACGTAAGAGACGTAAGAGACGTAAGAGACGTAAGCGACGCCGCGTCATAGCTCCGAAGCTCTTGCCTCTGGACCGACAATATTTTGGAGCTGGAAGTGAACCGCATTCCGGAGCTATGACGCGCCGCCGCTGCGGTGTGAACAGGAAAAAGCGCCGGTGTGAAAGGGGCATCAGAGGGGCGTGGGGAGGGGCTCCTTATTTTCATCTAAAGTAACAGACAGAGAATCAGCACTTTGGAAACAGGGCTGAAACAGAGGGGATTATGGGATGCTGCAATGATCTGTTTGGTGTTTGGAGCCAAACACTTCAGAGACATGTTTTGTATATATCTGAGAACTATTATATATTGATGAAAAACAGAATAACAGGGGACCTTTAAAGCCAGTAAGAAAAATAAGGAAAAATCTGGGATAATTTTCTCCAATGTTTCATCTGCGAAAACATGTTTGAAAAGTTCATTAGGGGATTTTCTTGATTTGTTTTGTTTTGTGCTCAAAGGCAGCAACACAGTAATGTTACGTAACTTGCTCACACACACAATAACTTTGTGTTAGGGCTTGTAGAAGTTAATAACTCACCTGGAAGGAACATACATTATTTTAGTTTTAATAGCATGGACTTTTTTATCTCCTCCTGGCAACAACAACCATTTCCCCCCTCTTTCACAGACGGAACATATTTGTAATGAATGAAGATTATCCGGGCAAAGCCTTTTTCTTTCACTTACCTTTCAAGTTCATGGCTACAAAATCTAATTGACCGTAAGGCATGTTTACCATACTCAGAAAACACTTAAAATATAAGTTATCCTATAATAAGATCATGATTCAAGGTTCTTTATTTTGTCATACGAACGTAGCTACAGTGTATAGTTATGCCGATGAAAATCTTAGGTCACAAGCTTCTCCAACTTATTCTTATTTCTTCACCCTCAAGTCTTTGGTTTCCTCTTTAAATCCAGCTTCTTCCTCTTCTTCCTCCCCTCTCGTCTCCTCCCCACCTCTCAGGGCGAATGACTCGGGGCTGCTGACCCATAAGGAGACCCTCCCGGTCCGCTCTCTGGTTCTTGGAGACGTCCACAGACCGGGCTCAGAGAGCGCCTTCAGGGTCGGGCCCCTGCGCTGCCACGGGGACAGTAAGTCAATATTTTTGTTCTTTTGCAACCAAAAGACCTGGACCAGGGGCGTCCAAACTTTTTTCACCGAGGGCCACATACAGAAAAATATACGAAGGGCTGGGCCGCTCACTAGAGGTATACTGCCTCATAAGTTCAGTTATAAATTAGCAAAATCAATCAAATGTAGGTAGATGATGCTTGTGAGTGATGGCAGCTCATCCCTTAAAACAGAAGCCTCACATTGATTATAATAAGGAGAAATATGAAGGGTATATTTCAAGCTTGTTATGTAAATAAGTCATTGGGCTTTTTTCTTATCAACTAAAATATGTTAGAAAATGTTTCCAACTTGAATTGACTGAATTTATTTGAAAAGTGGTCTTACTAACACATGAATACTATATTTAAAGGGGACCTATCATGCAAAATGCACTTTTGTACGTCTTTTATACATGAATATGTGTCCCCGGTGTTCCAGGGAACTCACCAAGTGTCAGAAAACACAACCCTCTCTATTTTCCTCCATACCCAAATCTCTAAAAAAGGGGCTGCAACGGATCTGATAAAAACTGATCCAGATTTGAACACTGTCCTGACGTCAGGACGGTGGCGCTACGGCTATTGGGCCAACTCCACCAATCAGGAGGAGACAGCCACGGCCATTGCCGTTCGAAAGCGCTGGAGACGCTGTAGTACATATGCCAGGCCTGTAAGTGGCGCTGTAGTCTGCCACAAAAGCAGCGAAGAAGACTTGGTTACCATGGTTACCCTTCTGTTTATTCTCCGCTGTGGCTTTTTTTCTCCCTCCCCGAGGCAAGCGTTTGCTCCCGCTGCTTTAATTCAATGCAATCCCTCCCCGTCGAGGCAAGCACTGTAATTCTCTCCGGTTAGTCCACCAGCAGATGACAAACACCCACCTCTCCGCCTCTTCCAAGGAACGAGGGGACCGTGCGGCAGAGTTTCAGTTTCAGTTTCTTTCGCCGGTCAAGATGTCCGTTAAAGTTTAAATCTTCCGGACAAAATTAGAAAAGTGCCGGTCAAAGGTCTTCTTTGTTATTTATTGAGCTTTAAAACAAATGAATAACGACTCTATATAATAAAACACGGAGATCTCTTTTTCTCCCCCTCTTCTGTCAGCCCAGCAGCTGATCAGAGCACGGCTACCCTCTCCTGCAGGGGGGCGTGGTCAGCAAAATCAGACCCGTAGACAGCAAACAGCACATTGAGCGAAATGAGGCATGGCTAAAATGCATGATCTGTTTGGTATTTTGAAAACAGAAACGTATAAATATACCTTATATAGGTATGGCCCTACAATATATCATTTAAATATAGCATGATAGGTTTCCTTTAAGTATTACAATATAAGACAAGCACAAGTTTCATTTGTGGGCCATATTCCATTATGCTTTTTGAATTTGCTGAGGGCTTCAAAATGGTCCGCGGGCCGTAGTTTGGACACCCCTGACCTGGATGATGCTTATAGCTTTCCATTTATCCCCAGAAAATGTCTGGAATGCTGCGTTTTTCGACAAGGAGACGTCGTACCTCCACTTTCCCACATTCCACGCAGAGCTGAGTGCAGACGTCTCCTTCCTGTTTAAAACCACCTCATCCTCCGGAGTCTTCCTGGAAAACTTGGGCATCAAAGACTTCATCCGGATCGAACTCAGCTGTAAGTAAAACCCGTCCAGTTAGAAGTCTAATCCGGACCGCGCTCAGATGTGAGCAGGAGGGATCGACCCGGGTGTTAAAGTTTCACCTGGATTGAACTCGGCTCGAGGTGACCGTCTCAGAACTCCTCAACCCTAAAAATAAAACAAGTTTCAGCCAAGAGCGCCTCTGGGAAATCACTGCAGTGCCATTGTTCTAGTCCACTGCAACACATTTCCTTTATGCCCACCATGGTTTATAGTTATATTATCACTGTAGTGCATTACTGTTGAAATCATCTGGCTGTAATATTATATGGTAGATCACATAGTGTGTTATGTGCTTTATGACAACAGCCCTTAATATACTCTTTCAAAGAAAATACTCATCTGTAGACAGGTCACTCTTTATGATACCTATATGACACCTATACACAAATATATATATATATATTAATATTTCCACATAAGAAACTAGCTTATGCAGGAAATCGGATTTAAGGCTGCAGCCGGCCATCAGATGTCTCTCTTGAAAGTTGGCATGTTTGTTAGTAATGTGTGAAGCTGCAGAATTTGGACTGACAAAGAAATGACACCCTTTGCCTTGAGACTAAAGCCTTTACTTATTCTTTTCAAATATCTGATTCTTTCAAATGATTTATTTTAGTGTTGGTTTCAGTTTTGCCAAATTATGATGAAACACAGCGAGGCATTTCATAAGTCACAAGGCTTTCACAACAAGACATTAACTATTTTCCGGCTTATGCCAATTCAAATCCCACTTTTTTGCATCGCATATGGAGAGAAATAAGTCTCAATTCCCACAAATAATAACAGAAAGTGAGAAATGTACGTCATTTTCCAATCCACGAATAAACACCACATGAATATATGCTGTGAAAGGGCTTTGGCTTTGTTAAATATGTGCAGGAATACTTATATATATCCATATTCCAATTACTTGTATATAGACTATTCTGCACTATTTCTATTATATTATATTTTATTTTATTTACTCGCACTATTTCATCTGTTTTATTGTGTTGCACTGTGGGAGGAGCCTGTGACCTAAGAATGTAATTGTCATAACTCCACTGTAGCTATGCACACATGACAATAAAAGCCTTGAATCTTGAATTTACTTTCTTGCCTCTTTTCCTCAGCTTCCTCTGAGGTGGTGTTCTCCTTCGACGTGGGGAACGGTCCTCTGGAGGTTCGTGTGCAGGCCGACTCTCCGCTGAATGATAACCGGTGGCACCGCATCCGCGCCGAGCGAAACGTTAAAGAGGCGTCGCTGCGCCTCGACGAGCTGCCGGCTGCCACTCAGGAGGCGCCGGCTGACGGGCACATCCACCTGCAGCTCAACAGCCAGCTATTTATAGGTGAGTGTGTGTGTGTGTATGGAGTGTGTGTGTGTGGCTGCTGAACACATGCTCACTAGCAAGTACTAAGATTTATCTACAGGAGATATTGAACATTAAATAGAGGGATTATGTGAGACAGAGGGAAGAGCATGAAGGGATGACAGATTGTAAGGGATGTAGGAAAGGATGAATGGATGAGGGGTGTAGGGGGGAAGTGATAAAGGGATGATGAAAGGGATGAAGGAAGAAAGGAATGTAGGGATGTAGAGAGATAGGGATGAAGGGATGTAGGGAGGAAGGGATGTGGTGATGTACAGATGGAAGAAGGGATGTAGGAAGTGTGAGATGAAGGAGGGGGGATGAATGAAGGGGAGTAACGGCCCATCCACACAGCGGCGTGCATTGAAGCTTGCTCAATTTTTTTGAATATGAGGAAATGACCTGCAGTGTGTCTCTCCCAGCATACACGCGGTTTCATTGGCTAGCGCTTGTACTGGCAGATTTGCATAAACGGGATTTGATTGGCTGACGCTTCCACCGAAGCTTCAGAAGCTTTTGCAGCGAGCCATGCCAGCAAAGCTCCGCTTCGCTTCCCACAATGCAGTTCGGCGAAAAGTGACGTCACCCCATTCAAAGTGAATGGGGAAGCTTTCAACGCACGCCGCTGTGTGGACGGGCCGTAAGGCGATGGGGATGAACAGATGAAGGGATGTGTAGGAGCCATGAAACGTATATAGCAATGCGTTTGTTTTTGATATAGGGTGTTTGTTTGATCTCTGTTGATTGGTTGGCTTGGGTCGCATGGATATGGGCGGCACTCATTATAATCCTGTTCACCTGCGTGAGGTGTGTGTGTGGAAGAGAGGGTGACACAGGGCCGTTGTACTTTTTGTTGACCGCACGTTTTAATGATTGCTTTGATTAATATAACGATGTACATGTCCAAGGAGAATAAGTTGATCATCCCAGTTTTCATGAAAATGTAGCTAACTTAATTTAAATGCAATTCAAAACTGCTTTAACCTGTTACGCACCGCCCCCCCGGTACCGGGCGGATAAACGCGTCATTTGCAGGAAACAACGTCTAAGGAATCTTAATATTTAATAAACTATGAATGTTTTATATCCATGTAAAAAAAAAAAACTTTTAGAAGTTAACCTCCCCTTCATTTCAGTCTTCAATGAAAACCATATTTCTCTCTCTGCCTTCCTTTCAATTTCTCTCCTTGACTCTGTACCTTTTCTTTCACCCACACACACAAAGATTACTCTGTACTGGTATTGCTTTTTTTATTGACCCCAAGGGAAGCTGGCAGCCTCCTGAAGTAAACAGATAGTGATGGAAACTTTAAGCCTTCAGCAATACTCCTCACTAAAGCTCCTATCTTAGTTCACTCTGTCCAGGGAGCAGCTGTCTGCTTATTGATCCACATTGAAACGGACAGATTTAAAAAAGATCAATCAATCCCAAACCTCAGCAAATGAACGAAACACAGGCCAAGGTTATGAAACTGATACCTTTATAAACACCTAATAGACTGAGATAAAGTCCTCAGGATGATGTCTTGTTTGTAGTGGTCAGTTTCCTCCCAGTAACCTTGGTGCAGAGTTTATATCGAGTCCATTAGTGGAGGAACTTTCCTGACAGCTCCTGATGAAACTCCGAGCCCTGATATGAACCTCATCAGCGCTGCAGTCCCAGAAAGCTGTTTATCTCATCATAAACGTCTCCAAGTTGCCAGTTTGGCGCTCTGAGACAATTATATGGTAGCAGAGTAAACTTGGAGGACAGTTCGAGGTTGTAATGTGAGAAAACAATAACTTCTGGAGTCTAAATGATGCGCTGGGAAGGGGAAAAACATGCCAGGCAGAACGGGAGATTTGTCAGAAAGATTGACGGCTTGCCAGCTTCAGTATGGTGATAACAACCAATGAAAAGCCTTGAATTTTTCACCTGCCAGTTTTTGTTTCACAGCGTTTCATCAGCTCATCATTTCAGAAATTCAGTTTGAAGGTGGTGACAAATCTTTGTTTATGTAGCTGTTTATTATAAAATGTGATATCAGTCACTGTCACCCTGCAATTTGATCACAGAAATAATACGATTTTATTTCGATTAAATAATATATGGTAAGAAAAGGCTTGCTTGGCTTGCATACTCCATCATGGAGAACATCACATCTGCATTTATATTTGATTGAGATATATCAATATATGAAGGCAGTGGCTCAGTCAGTAGGGGCTTGGACTGGGAGCTGTAGGGGAGCCGGTTCAAGTCCCCGACCAGACCTAAAATAGTGTGTCGACTGCTACTTGGAGAGCTCCCAGTTCCCTTCCTGCCCTGCCGTGGTGCCCTTGAGCAAGGCACCGGACACCCCCCTTCCCCCATCACTCCCATTGCTCCCCGGGCGCTGTACAATAGCTAGTCTAGTACTAGGAGCAGTGGCTCCTAGTACTAGACTCCTGGTTCTAGACTCCTGGTACTAGGATGGGTTAAATGCAGAGAACACATTTCACTCTGCATGTGTGACCATTACAGAGGGTTTCATCCCTCCCAATTATATCTATCAACTCAAGTAGTGCAGACTTTTTCAAATCAATCTGCACTTAGAAAATAGGAAATAATGAAACCTTTGTGATTAAAACTAGGTAGGAAGTTTAATACTATTCAGAAACGAAGGAAACGCTGCTTGGAAAGTGTGAATTTACATTAAAAAGCACATTTTCCTTTGAACAAATAGTCAGTAGTTATAAAAAGCATTGTGATTTGAGGTTTGCTCCTATAATGAGCTGCTGTAGCATTAGTATGGGTTTCACATTTATCGTGTCTAAAGGTCAAAAAGTTTTCCATCTACTCGTCAATTAAATTCTTCCGGGAACATAAAGTAAAGTGGCACAAAATGGCCCTAAATTGTCCGAGTTAGACGGGCTATTGAACCGGAATAATTGCTCAAAATAGTTTGGCTCTAGGAGCATCAGGCTTGAAAAAACTGCACCTTTTTGCACGAGTGATGTCTGAGAGGCTCTGCAGGGAAAAGAAAGAAATAAGGTGAACTAAATATGAAGTTCAATTTAACTTTTTTTAAAGTAAATGTCCTCTGTCGGAAGCATAACTCAAGTCGGGAATACCGCAGATCTTTTCTGTGTTAAGAATCACATGGGGTCCTTTAAAGTCAGATTCGTATTTATTTATGAGAAACCATGACAACTATTCCTAAAGCAACAACATATCTGTATTTTTCTGCTTATTTTTAGACATTCGTCCCTTTTCTAGCATCCAGATATGTTTCTTATTTCAATCATTTTTATTCTTATTTTAAGATTTCTTTGTTAGCCTAATCATCTCGCTGAACTGGCAGATTATTACACTTATTTCAAATCTGTATCTCCTCAAATCACACTCCTTTTTCCTGTCTGCAAAACGGCTTTTGCAGTGAAGAAGAGAGTGAGACATTGTTGGGAAAATACTGAATGTACTCTTCCAATATCAGAGTAACACATGATAACAAAGGTATCCCAACTGTAGCTGTGTACGTGACAGGATGTATGATTACCTAGAAGAGCATCAGGACTGTTTTAGGCATATGATAGCTATGTGATTAACATGATGATTCAGCCTCTATGGAGATAGACATATGACAAGCATGATCATTTCTGACGTGGAGCTAATCTGAAGTAAACATTGAATACTGCTTTCTATTCCTCCATCTTGTGACTGTGTAACTCCCTCTCTTGGATATCAGCATGTGAAGGACACTGTTCAGGAACTAGTTGATGCTCTGTATGTGATGACTACTTCCATTCTGGAGAGGATAATAAATACATGGATCCTGATTATTGAAGCTCAAGCCGGTGACCAGTGATATTTTTCTAACAGTCATATAAAAAGAGAAAAGGCAAGATGCAATACAGCATGCTGAAGTGTCTCCTCTGCGTCTTCTCTTCAGGGGGCACAGCGTCCAGGCAGAAGGGTTTTCGGGGGTGTATTCGCTCTCTGCAGCTGAACGGGGTCACCCTGGATCTGGATCAGAGGGCGAGGATCACCCCCGGGGTCCAGGCCGGGTGTCCGGGTCACTGCAGCAGCTACGGCTCGCTCTGTAAGAACCAGGGTCGCTGTGTGGAGAGAGCGCTCAGCTTCTCCTGCGACTGCTCCTCCTCTGCCTTCACCGGAGCCTTCTGCCACACAGGTACGCCCAGAGGTGGAAGTAGTGGAGTACAAATACTTCGTTACTGTACTTAAGTACATTTTTCTGGTATCAGTACTTTACTCCACTACTTATTTTTCTAACGACTTTTTACTTTGACTTCTTACATTTTAAACACAAATACCTGTACTTTCTACTTCTTACATTTTGAACACAAATACCTGTACTTTCTACTTCTTACATTTTGAACACAAATACCTGTACTTTCTACTTCTTACATTTTGAACACTAATACCTGTACTTTCTACTTCTTACATTTTGAACACAAATACCTGTACTTTCTACTTCTTACATGTTGAACACAAATACCTGTACTTTCTACTTCTTACATTTTGAACACTAATACCTGTACTTTCTACTTCTTACATTTTGAACACAAATACCTGTACTTTCTACTTCTTACATTTTGAACACTAATACCTGTACTTTCTACTTCTTACATTTTTAACACAAATACCTGTACTTTCTACTTCTTACATTTTGAACACAAATACCTGTACTTTCTACTTCTTACATGTTGAACACAAATACCTGTACTTTCTACTTCTTACATTTTGAACACTAATACCTGTACTTTCTACTTCTTACATTTTGAACCCAAATACCTGTACTTTCTACTTCTTACATTTTGAACACTAATACCTGTACTTTCTACTTCTTACATTTTGAACACAAATACCTGTACTTTCTACTTCTTACATTTTGAACACAAATACCTGTACTTTCTACTTCTCACATGTTGAACACAAATACCTGTACTTTCTACTTCTCACATTTTGAACACTAATACCTGTACTTTCTACTTCTTACATTTTGAACACTAATACCTGTACTTTCTACTTCTTACATTTTGAACACTAATACCTGTACTTTCTACTTCTTACATTTGAACACTAGTACCTGTACTTTCTACTTCTTACATTTTGAACCCAAATACCTGTACTTTCTACTTCTTACATGTTGAACACAAATACCTGTACTTTCTACTTCTCACATTTCCCAAACAGGCTGGTTCCTTTAGTTTGAATGTGTGTTTGGTGGCGTGATCATTATTATTTAGAGTCATTGCGTGCCTATTGATTTGAACACGATCCGTGTATCCATCATTTCCTGGTCTTCTCTAAAGAAGAGGGACCAATGAAAACGTTGTCATGTTGCCGTTGTTCAGCATGGAAACATTCATTAGCTAACAATGACATTATTGTTCTATTAATATAAAGGGAGGTCAGGTACTCTTTAAAACAGCTGCTAGTTATGGGTACTTTTACTTAAAGTGGACCTATCATGCTATATTTGAATAATATAGTGTAGGACCATACCAATATAAGGCATATTTATACTTTTTTTTTTTCAAAATACCAAACAGATCATGCATTTTAGCCATGCCTCATTTTGCTCAATTTGACCATTTCTAGCTCTGTTTTTGCAAGGGCTGATTCAGTGAGAACAGCACCATCTACTGGCCTGGCATATGTACTACAGCGTCTCCAGCGCTTTCGAACGGCAATGGCCGTGGCTGTCTCCTCCTGATTGGTGGAGTTGGCCCAATAGCCGTAGCGCCACCGTCCTGACGTCAGGACAGTGTTCAAATCTGGATCAGTTTTTATCAGATCCGTTGCAGACCCTTTTTTAGAGATTTGGGTATGGAGGAAAATAGAGAGGGTTGTGTTTTCTGACACTTGGTGAGTTCCCTGGAACACCGGGGACACATATTCATGTATAAAAGACGTACAAAAGTGCATTTTGCATGATAGGTCCCCTTTAAGTACATTTCAAAGCCCTCTTTACTTTTACTTGAGTAAAGAACTTTAGTCAGTACTTCTACTTCTACCAGAGTATTTTTAAACACGAGTATCTGTACTTCTACTTGAGTAAAGGATGTGTGTACTTTTGCCGTCTCTGGAGGTACGCCTAATCTCCCAGCAGCACCTGGGGCACAATGATGGGGATTTAAGGACCCTATTGTCGACTGTACCAGTATGAAAAATTGGGGAAATCATTTTACCTTCAAGTAATTTTTGTGGCAAAATGATCTTGCTACAATTTCTTCCTCTTCCAATCTTTGTTTGATGAACATTTCCCTGGAAACTAATCCTGACATATGCTTATCTTCGGAAACGTTTGGCTTTTGGTGTGTGGCTGATGTCCAAAAACTGCTGACCTGCTGAACTGAATACTGAATGTGTTACATTGCAAACAAGCTTTGGGGGGTAACAGGTTAGATTTAGGGTTAGGGTGGAAATGTCACCATCATTTTGTGTTGGAACGAGAAATTAGGAACAACATTACCATACAGTAAAAGCTGTTTAAAATATTGTCTTTTTCAAAGGGTCAACATTTAATTTCAAGAAGCTTTTACAGATTAATTTTCTGTGTGTTTTCACTCATTCGAATAGGTTTGGCTTACTGCCTGAATTTGCCTTTTGCCTTTACTGTTAAAAGTTGAGTTTGACTAAAGTTAGGTTTGGTTCACAGTTTTGCAGGGATCATATCATTTGAATGAGTATAAAGCCACTGTATGTCTTTGCTCTCCATCTTATAACTCAGTGATGTATGTAGTGTTTGAACAGCAGCTCTGACAACGCATAATTGCTGCTCCACTTTCAGCAGAAAGCAGCTGACCAAATTAATCTGATAATTAAACACCCAGACCTGTGATTTCCTGTAATGTCTTAACATAAAAAAACAGCTGGTGTGCTTTTTTAATCATAGGAGGTTGTGTTTCTGATGTGACGACTCTTTGTTCCCGTGAGAACGTAATTAACGAGAAGACTAGGTGTGTGTGTTAAAACACCTTGAAGGCAGCAAACTGACAGGGCTGTCAAAATATTCAGATTTTCACACAAAACTTATAATAGCAGTAATATTGTGATATCTGTATTCGAAAAGAAAACAAATAGGGTTATCTTTATTTAGTGTTCATTTTCTCTCTTTTTCTGCCAAATTAAATTGTCTTTTCAACTGTAATCATAATCATTAACACTGTTTTAATGCTTTTAATGTTTTTTGAAAAGCACTTTGAATTGCCTTGTCTTGAAACTAGTTATATCAATTGACTTGCGTTGCCTAATGGATAGTGAAAAATCCCCCAGATGAACTGATGTAGTTTACCTTCAGGTGTTTGCTATCATGGGATTAAAAATGTAAAAGGTAAAAATGACTAATTTCCCCTAAAGACAGTAACCTTATCGAAGTATCAGCGTTTAAAGGGGCCTATTATGCTTTACACCTGCTTACTATAATGCTACAAAGGAGACAATCGCTCCTACCACCCTGTTATTAAACTTCCTGACATCATCTCCCTCTCTGCAGAGGTTTCAGCCAGCTTCAAGTCGGGAACATCCGTCAGCTACACCTTCAGGGAGTCGGTGTTGAACGGCAGCTCCGTTTCCTCTGACTTCACCCTGAGAGGAGAGAACATCTCCCTGAGAGGAGAGAACATCTCCCTGAGAGGAGAGAACATCCCCCTGAGAGGAGAGAACATCTCCCTGAGAGGAGAGAACATCCCCCTGAGAGGAGAGAACATCTCCCTGAGAGGAGAGAACATCTCCCTGAGCTTCAGGACGAGTCAGAGTCCGGCTCTGCTTCTCTTCGTCAGCTCCTTCCACAGAGAGTACCTCGCTGTGCTGCTCAACAAGCACGGTGAGCCTCTTACCTTTATTTAAAAAAGACTAACTTATCTTACGATTGTAGCTCTGCCTTTAGGATCTGTATGAGGTTAATGTCTGTCTCTCTGCCGAATGGAGCAGCCTTTTGCTTCCTGTTCTGTTGAATCCACAGCTTTGGTAACTTTACATGTTTTGCTCCTTTGTGCCTACAGGATTTATATTGATATTGTTCGCTCACACGCATTGTGCTGTTATGATAAGGGCTTTAACTGTGTTACACAAAGTCTGTATTTGTATTAAGCCTTGTGTGTGTGTGTGTGTGTGTGTGTGTGTGTGTGTGTGTGTGTGTGTGTGTGTGTGTGTGTGTGTGTGTGTGTGTGTGTGTGTGTGTGTGTGTGTGTGTGTGTGTGTGTGTGTGTTCAGACAAGCTGGAGGTGCGCTACAGGCTGGACGGCAGCAGAGAGGCAGAGATCCTGAGGAGCAAAGTGAGGAACCTCAACAACGCACAGCTTCATGCTGTCAGCATCAGCAGGAGGGCAGACGCTGTCTCTCTGCAGGTAATACACACACACACACACACACACACACACACACACACACACACACACACACACACACACACACACACACACACACACACACACACACACACACTGTCAGTACTAAAACCAGAGTCACCCTGTAGTTCCCAGCAGCCTCTCTGTCAGTCTACTACAGTGACCAGCGGGAGAATCTACAAGAAGACGACATGCAGGGACGAGTTGCTGGAAATACTCACAGATAATAAATCTGAGCCGCAGTGAAACAACGGACTCATACGTGTTATCAGCTCCGACAAGCAGGCTTTTTCTCTTACCTTCAAAATAAGACTAGCTTTTTAAGCTTTGAGCACTAGAGCCTCATGCTTAAAATGTCTCATTTTAGTTGTCAGGTCCGTGTCGTTTACGCTGGGGATGCTGGAGACATGTCCGCCTCACTTTTGGATATTGCCAATTCTGTACACCCCACTTTTTATAAGCATAATTAGTTAAAAATAGCTTGCAGAGGGAAAGGTAATAAATGAGAGCACTTTGCAGTTAGACATGATGTATGCTGATGATACACAGCTGGTTCTTCAACTGTGTTTCAACCAGATGAAACTGTCTCACTGATTCTGAAGTCCTGTCAGTACAATTATAAGAAGTTCAATCCATCCTTAGTATGTGGCATCCTTTTGCTTTGTCTTGCATGGTTGTTTTTTACCACACATAAATATGCATTAAGTGTGCAATAATAAGGAAAATCACAAAAAACTAAAGCATCCTTTCTGCAAAAACATGGAGGTTTCATAGTGAATTACTTCTGCCAAAGTTCTGTAATCATCCTTTTAAGTATTTATATTCTGGCAGGTTTTTTTCGGGTTGCTTATTTTGAAGTGACACTTTTTTATAACCTCTTTTAGATTGACCAGAACACCAGAGAGGACTTCAATCTGACGTCGGATGCAGAACTGAACGGCCTCCGGTCTCTAGTGCTCGGCAGAGTGCCAGGTGAGTCTGAAGAAACCAGACGAGGCCTTCAGCTCAGAGCACTCAGACAGTCTCTCAGACCGCTGCTGCTAACTTTTATCATCCCAGGGACAGCTGTTGTTTGTACTCTACGAAGAAATACATTTAAATACTGGAGCCTTTAAGCACTAAGATGTGATGTGATTAAAACCACACGCACACAATGGATGCAACGGACTAGCTTTTAACTGAGAGAATTGCTTCAGAGAAAAAAGGCAGACAGACGACTAACAGAAAAGGCACAATCTTTACACGACAAAGATCATTCATATTCCAACCACTCAGCCGGATGAACTGAAGTTTGTATCTATTATTCAAAGATGCATTCAAAATGTTCTGAATATGTTCTTTTAGAAAGAATATTCCCAACTAGTTTTCAAACTTTTCACAAGAAGCGAGAGGAACAAAAGCCACAACAACTTTCAGGATGTTCCCTTTAAGATGTTGGTTCTTTCAGGATGCTTCTGTTATTTCTTACATAATGCATCTTCTTTGGAGGAAGACATTGCATTGTCATTTGTTCTGGAAAGCTGTAGCAGCATTCTTTATTGTTGTTATTAAAGTTATTATTTTGTCTTTATTCAACAAGGACCGTGCATAAAATACATTCATCTCAACAAGAGAAGACATGATTTATGCTAGATTTGACTATAATTGGATTTCCTTCTTTTCCCGGAAGTTACACACTAAACAACAAACACTAAAAACATTACATATTTTCTAACAAACTAAAAATGATACAGACATTGTGCTGACATATGCAGTAGGGTTATCGTGGTATTATTGTATTTTAATGCACCAACACGTACAGTGGAGATGCTCACTTCAAGTGAATTACCTGCATGTTCATTATTGTGCAAGTCAGATGTATGTATTGTTAACATTTTAGGCAAGGCAAGGCAAGGCAAGGCAAATTTATTTATATAGCACTTTTCTGTACGCGACAATTCAAAGTGCTTTACAAAACAAATTAAAATACTTTTTAGGAATAAATACAGTAAAAACACATTATATAATGGCATTTTACAACAGGCATTACAAGTCAGGTAGGGGTCAATACATCGAAATAAAGTTGTCGTTGAGTAAATTAGACACTAATGGTGCAGCACTGTATGATATAAATGTTTTTTTGTGCTTCCAAATATGTTTTGCGCTGGTATTTGGCTGAAAAACAACAATTTAAAAGGCGGTATATCATTATAATACGTTTCAGAAACACAGATCTTTCGGTCAAATCTCAAACCACAGGTTTCTCCTGATTCCTGATCCATCTTTAATATATGTTTCTCTCCTCTCCAGACTCTGTTGAGTTGGACCCAGAGATGTCTCGTCTCTCCTCTCTGGGCTTCACAGGCTGTCTGTCGGCCGTCCTCTTTAACTCCGTCAGCCCTCTGAAAGCCGCTCTGCTCCACCCGGACCTCGTCACCGGCCCTCTGCTCCCGAACACATGTGGCTCCACTTCAGCCAATCCCTACGCAGCAGAAACCACACACCACCTGTCAGGTCAGAGGAGAAATGTGTGTTTTCTGTACTGGTCACTTCATTCACACTTTAAAGGTCCCCTATTATACTGTCTTTCATCAATATATTATAGGTCTCAGATATATACAGAACATATCTCTGATTGGCTGAAACACCAAACAGATCATTGCAGCATTACCCATAATCCCCTCTGTTTCAGCCCTGTTTCCAAAGTGCTGATTCTCTGTCTGTTACTTTAGATGAAAATAAGGAGCCCCTCCCCACGCCCCTCTGAGAGAGATTTGGTTACAAAGAACACAAAGGTGCTCTAGGAGGAGATTCAGGTGATAAGGTGGGGGGGGGGGGTTACCTTGGTTGGTGATTGGCTAATGGTTACACAAGACAAAAAATCGTTATGACATCAGAAAGTGGCCAAAATCTGATCAGGTCATTTTCAGACCTATTATGCTATCTGGCGTTTTCTCTTTCCTGTAGTGTTATATCGGTTTTAGTGCATGTAAATGGTCTGCAAAGCCTAAAATCCCCGTGGGAGGGAGTTTCTCTTTGTGCTTTCTTGACTCGTGTCTCTGTGTCTCATGTCTCTTGTCTCTGTGCTGCAGGTCAGTCCGGATCAGTGGGAGCAGGTCAGCCTCTGGTGAACGCCATGAGGAGCGACTCGGCTCTGATTGGAGGTAAAGCAGCAACGTGTTTCACTCTCACACTAATGTTAATATCACTCATCAGGCAGAAAGTGTCCCTGTGTGAGTGGGGATGCAATTGGATGTGATGACAACAAATGTTTTCTTTAATTTGATTTATTGATTTATTATGTGTTTGTCTGCTTATTTTTGGGGGAAAGAAATGTAATTTATGTAACGTCAAATTGGTGAACGTAAGGTATTCAAACCTCACTCGGTTAGAAACAATGCAAGTATACAAAAAGATGATAAAGATCTATGTGTGAGTGTTTTGGTGATAGTTTCAATAAAAGCCTTGAGCTGTCCTTCATAACATTGTTATTTGTATTTAAGTAAGTAAGTAAACACATCCTTATCAATCAACTGTGACTCAGAGTTGAAAAACAATATTTATCACATAAAACATTTCTTTTTTTCATACCATATATTATTCAATATGTTCTTAGATACATTACATTACATGTCACTTGTTAGACGCTTTTATCCAAAGCGACTTACATACTCAATACTGTGGGCAATCCCCACAGGAGCAATTTGGGGTGAAGTGTCTCAGGGACACAACGACATGCTGACTGCAGTGGGGTTTGAACCTGTGACCCCCTGATCCCAACACAAAGCCTCTATCCACTGCGCCACACGCCTCCACAGATATATCTTTTAATTGTATTTCTTTTATTATTTTCTCCTTATAGCATTGTGAAGCACCTTGAGATGACGTTGTTTTCAAAGTGTGCTATATAAATGAAATGTATTATTATTATAGTATTTATCACATAAAACAAGGTGTAAAATCCCATGTTTCCACTGAGCCGCTAATTCTTTTTGCTATTTCCTCTTCTTCTTCTCAGGCGTGATCGCGGTGGTGATCTTTGTGACCGTGTCAGCGTTAGCCGTGACGGCCCGAGTCCTCTACAGGCGGAAAGGGACGTGCCAGAACCAGGAAGTGAAGCCTGAGGACAGCCTGCAGGGCGGTGTGCAGAGCGAGAACCAGAGAGAATATTACATTTAGGAGGAGCTTTGACCCAGACAGACCGATGCCTTGTCAAGCCTCAGTGCTTTACAGACTGACACACACACTTTACACTCATGTTCCTACGTTTGGTTTTTCTCTTACTGTGGTTGTACTTTTGTAAAGACTGTAAATAGATGCACAACTACAAAGTGTTTATAATATGTCAATACTGGCAGTGGAATTGTAAATATTTAATTAATGATGTGAATCTTCAAAATAATGACTTAAAGTGGACCTATCATGCTATATTTGAATAATATAGTGTAGGACCATACCTATATAAGGCATATTTATACTTTTTTTTTTTTTAAATACCAAACAGATCATGCATTTTAGCCATGCCTCATTTTGCTCAATTTGACAATTTATAGCTCTGTTTGTGCAAGGGCAGATTCTGTGAGAACAGCACCATCTAGAGGCCTGGCATATGTACTACAGCGTCTCCAGCGCTTTCGAACGGCAATGGCCGTGGCTGTCTCCTCCTGATTGGTGGAGTTGGCCCAATAGCCGTAGCGCCACCGTCCTGACGTCAGGACAGTGTTCAAATCTGGATCAGTTTTTATCAGATCCGTTGCAGCCCCTTTTTTAGAGATTTGGGTATGGAGGAAAATAGAGAGGGTTGTGTTTTCTGACACTTGGTGAGTTCCCTGGAACACCGGGGACACATATTCATGTATAAAAGACGTACAAAAGTGCATTTTGCATGATAGGTCCCCTTTAATATAAATCGGTCGTGTTGAAATGTTTAAAACGGTTATAAAAGGAACTGTTTTTTTAAAGTAAAGGAAGCAGTGTTTGGTTTTAAGTTATTTAAATACATTGGATTGCTGGATATTTAAAGTTTGTGTTTTGTATTTTTGTTTGCTTACTGTTTGAACTGTGGCAAGGCAAAATTGATCCGTTCACATTGAACATTTTTCATTTTATCTCAAAGTTTTTCCTATCAATATTATGTTTTCATTATGTTGTCGCTGAAAAAATGAAATGAAAAACGTAAATCTTTATTTATTTTTCTTCCTTTGTATTCCTTTTGCTTGTTTGTTTTTCTTTCTGTGGCTTTCCTGTGCCTCCAGCTTACAGTTTTGTTTCAAACAGTAGGTATTGAAGTGAGAAGGATGCAATTATGTTGGACTTTCTGTTACCAAGTGTTACGCCACTCCCTTAGGTGGATCTGGGGCTAACACAATTCCACCATTGACCCAAATACAACACAGAAAGACACCTTTAAAAAAATCTAATCCATAGTATTTATAACAATCAAACATGTAAAATATACACTCATAATGCACCTCACTGCAGATCTACTGGAGGGGAAAAGAAACACAAACACAACTCATATAAACACAGATAGAGACAATGGAGGAAGCTTTATGCAGAGTGAACTGTTTACTGAACGTCACTTTAAATTGAGGAATGAGTTTGTGGTTTAGTTTCTCTCCTGGAAACACATCATCATGGTCTGGAGGATGTTTGTAATGTCAGAGTGGTGGAGTGACTCGCTGTGAGATTTGAACTTGTACAGATATTTTAGTAAGAAATACAAAACTGTTCAGTGAAAAATAAATGTGTGATTTTTTTTATGAGACGGACTTTTCTCTTCTTTTGAGTCAATTACAATCCTACAGTTTTATTACTGACTCAGACACCTTGTTTTATAAATGCAGAGATGCTTAACCAACACAAGATTATAAGTTAGATCAATAGATACCCTTTAAACTCTTTTTAGGTTGGCAAACATTTAAATGTGCATTAATTTCTCTATTCATAGATATAGTATTTAGTGTCTCTGTGACATGTCTCCATGCTTTAATGTTCAAAAACCTTTGTATTTCTCTCTTACTGCCTGGGCTGCAGCACCTCTTTTCACCCTCTGTCTGGAACCAGAGCTGCTCTGATTGGTTAGCTGGCTGGCTCTTTTGTGATTGATCAACCGCTTAGAGATGTCCCGCCTCCTAGCCTATCCCGTACGATGTGTTTGAGCCCTAGCCAATAGAAGCGCTTGTGTAAAATAATGATGTCACTATGTTCCGGCAGTAAACAACACAGGAGTCTTTAAAGCTGGCTACACACCAACCCGATTTTGGGAGTCAGAGGCCGTCAGAGGCAGTCGAGCATTCGCGGCGCCCTACTCAGGTTGGAGTGTCCCGCACCGTCGTCTCTTTACGGCACATTTTCACACCTCCCGATGCCTCCCGCGCCGTGTGTGCTTGGGCCGACTTTCAGAGAAAGTCGGCCCAAGCAATCACTCTGATTGGCTGATCACACTACCGCTGCCTGCTGGTAAGGACAGTTATTGCCACTCGTCGACTGAAGTATTTGTGGTGTGTTCGTAGGCGGGCTGCGTAGCGGGCGGCGTAGCGGGCGGCGTAGCGGGCGGCGTAGCGGGCGGCGTAGCCGACGCAGGCGACGTAGCTGACGTAAAAGTCGGGACGCCTTCGGTACGCGTTCTTTGGTCTCAGGTGGGTGTGTAGCGGCCTTAATACAACTCAAACACAGCAAATTAGCCTCAGAAAATGTACATCTCTTCATGTTTGGTACTTAAAGACTTGCTGTTTGATGGCTCTTTTCTTCACCATGTGACTTTTCTGTTGGATATAACATGCATCTGTCTGCAGAGAGGAGACAGGTTTTTACCCTCTGCTGCTTGGTGATGCATTCAGGTGCTCGAGATGTCGGTCCAACTCTTGTCACAGAACCAGCCTCTCTCCGGCTGAAATGATGAAAACCTCCCACTGCCTGCTGTCCTCCCCCGTGCACACACACGCGCACACACACACACACACACACACACACATACACACACACACACACACACACACCACACACACACACACACACACACACACACACACACACATACACACACACACACACACACACACACACACACACACACACGACTCTGATGATCCAGGTGACAGCGTGGTTGTCAGCTGGTATTATTTACAAAGAGGGATTCACTCACGCTTCAAATAACACGGAGAACAACAAGAGGCCGTATTGTAATGACACATGCTGCAGCACCACAAGAGGAAAACAATTTAGATCATGAGTCAAGATGATCTCCACAGGTGTTTAAAGTGATAAGATGATATGAGTATTATGTAATGTCATCACTGTCCATTTAATAAAGGAGTGAAGTGGAGCGCTTTGCAGATAATGAACCGCCTCCTGCTGTTTGGTTAAAGGTCCCCACAGACTGCAGCTCAAACAGCTGATTATAAACGACACACACACAATTTAAAAGTGGCATGATGTTAAAAGATGTCTCGTGTGTCCTGCTGTTGCTGGTGTTGTTGTTCGAGGCGCTGCAGACGGTGTTTGGACAGAGCGGTCGTCAGGGATCAGCAGCACAGAGGTCAAAGGTCGAACCGCTCAAGCGTAACTCCAGCTGAGATTAATGTACTCATAACAATTTTTGTTTTTACTCGCCACATGACACCAGCATCACAGCAGTAGTTGCTACTTTCTCGTAGCTGTCATCCCTGGTTTAGTTTTCAACTGTATTCAAATCAGTGACACTGTGGAAGTTAAACTCCCATCCTGCCGTCAGCACTCTCCTACTCCTCATCCTCCTCCTTCTTCCTCTTGTCTCATCTTTTATCATGGTTTGATAACTGAACAGAAGCGGTGCTAGAAATCATATTTGGCAAAAGCTAAAAGCTAAACTTGACCCCATGTTGTACCCCAGGCAGCCCACCCTAAATATATGTGCCGTTGATGCAAGAAACATGTTCCAATTTGGCTTTTCAGTTCTTTGAAATCATGAGAGTGAAATGCATTAATGAGCTAATGAAAGCAGAGGTGCACAGTTGTCTTTGCGTTGTAATTTTGATTAGAAACCAGGTTCAGAATCACAAAGATATTCCCTCAGCCCTTCATCCGCTTATCTCCATTTCCCAAATGCCGCTAATAAAACTCTTTATAACATATTGGCACGTTCAAATGTCTTTTAAATGGCTACATGGTGTTATGAAGAGGCATTATGCTTTTTGGGGTTCTCCCTTTCCTGTAGGTTTTGGTTTCTGTGCATCTAAACGGTCTGCAAAGGCTTTAATCCCAAAGTTATCTCCAGAGTGAGTTTCTCTTGCACACTTCTTTAAAGGGGACCTATCATGCAAAATGCACTTTTGTACGTCTTTTATACATGAATATGTGTCCCCGGTGTTCCAGGGAACTCACCAAGTGTCAGAAAACACAACCCTCTCTATTTTCCTCCATACCCAAATCTCTAAAAAAGGGGCTGCAACGGATCTGATAAAAACTGATCCAGATTTGAACACTGTCCTGACGTCAGGACGGTAGCGCTACGGCTATTGGGCCAACTCCACCAATCAGGAGGAGACAGCCACGGCCATTGCCGTTCGAAAGCGCTGGAGACGCTGTAGTACATATGCCAGGCCTGTAGATGGTGCTGTTCTAACAGAATCAGCCCTTGCAAAAACAGGGCTAAAAAAGTGCAAATAGAGTGGCGAAGTCCCTCCCCTTCCGGTGGACCTCCATGGGACCTTATTTCGGAAAAATGATGTATTGAAGTCAATGGAGAGAGAAAGATTATCTTTCGATCCCGTTTGAATTGTGCCACGAATTACACATATGATGTTTGTCAATTTAAAAGATAATTTTGCAAGTCAAAAAAAAAAAAAATGTGTCGTAAAACTGTGAAGTAACACATTTGTTTGTGTGAAACGCTCAATGAACTACATCTCTCGTCAACAACACACGTCACCAAGATGGCCGTCACTACTGTCTTGTCAACAAAACGATTGACTATCCTCACTATCAGCACAATGAAACACGTCCTGAAGAATGTCATGCAAAGCCTGTCTTCCTTTGATTCTCTCTGAACTGCCTGGTCGTTTTAATGTTTAAAGTCAACCATTTGTGCAGATAGCATGAAGTAGAGAAGATCGCCGATGCTAACGTTAGCGTTAGCATTTCTCCCCCGGGCTTAAATGGTGTATTATAGAATGATCACACCGGTGACAGTACTATTCAAAGGGTTCACGAAATATGACTACTACTCTTACTGTTTAACATTTTGGGTTACTTAATGT